TGTGGAAAGAAAAGAAACTAGGAATTTAGCTCAGCGGCATAAGCGCCTGCCTTGCAAGCACGAAGTCCTGAGTTCGATCCTGGTACAAAAAAAAAAAAAAAAGAAGAAGAAGAAGAAGAAAAAGAAAAGAAAGGAAAGGTTTTAGGCTGTCAGTTGGCTCTTTTGGGGACTCCTAATCTTTGTGGAAGTGTGACCACTCTTCCTGGCAAACTCTGGGCTCACAGCCCAAGCCCCAGCTGAGTTCTGCTAGGAAGGTGGCAGGTTAAGCTCCATGCCAACAGCCAACATGCCTGCCACCCACCGTGCACCACCCCGTGGTAGCCTTCTTGTCACCTGGTTGTGTGCATATGCAGGCACACGTGTGTGTGTGTGTGTGTGTGTGTGTGAGAGAGAGAGAGAGAGAGAGAGAGAGACTCACTGTGCAGTTCAGACTGGCCTTGAACTCACTATGTAACCCAGGCTGGACTCAAATTTGCATTAATCCTCCTGCCTCTGCCTCCTGAGAGCTGGGATTACAAGCATGCACCACCACAGCTATCTTTGCTTGGCTCTGGAGAGGGCCCCTGAGTTACTGTGGTTTTGTTCCCATGCACAGCCTTGTGCACACTAACCTCAAGCTTCACTACTAAGCTACAGCCCCCCCCCCCAAGCTGCTGAGTTGGCTTAACTGGCTCAAGGGTCACCCAGCTCTAATGGCAATCTGAGATTCAAAACCAGAGAACATTTCCTACCCAGGTTTAAAGACCCAGAACTCTGGGAGGCTGAGGCAGGAGGACTGAAAGTTTGAGCTTACCCTGGGCAATTTAGTGACTTAGCAAAATTAAAAGATTCAGGGATGTAACTCAGTGCTGTGATAAGAAAAAGAGAGGGAGGGAGAGGCAGATGAGCCAGGACTCCTGATCTCTCCCCTGGAAGGAGGGACAGCTGGTAAAGTTGCCCCAGCTCGTTAAGGACCACAACTACAGACCACTCAGAACCTCTGCAGGTGAGACGCTGCCAGCTGTGTGTTTTTTGCATTTATGGAAGCCCAGCACAGAACCAGAACCACATGAGGTCTCTCCACCAGAGGTGAAGACAGGAGCTTGTTTTGCAGATCTGAACTGTGGGGTGTGGAGCTGGAAGGGCTGAGGGCCGCTTGGCCCCCCATGGGCTACCCAGGGTCCCTCTGAACTGCACCAGGTGGAGTCCTCCAGGGCTCCTAGTGATACTGTAAACGGTTCCTCCTGACACCCAGGCAGCTAGAGGGGCATTGCACCCGAACACCTGAGCCAACGTAACCAATGGCCTGATCCTCACAGTCAGGACACGTATTGAGGATGCGGGGGGTGCCCCACATGTGCAGCCATCAGCATCCGTCCCACTCAGCCACACCCCAATGGGTCCTCAAAAACACCTGCTCAGGCAGCCGGCCTGAGAGGGGAGGGGAGGGACAGCTGGAGCCACCAGGTTCTGGAACAGGAAGTCATGACAGACACAGTGCAGGTGCAGGGACAGGGTCACACGAACAGGTCAGGCTGGTCACAGAACTCTAGCCTTTTTTTTTTTTTTTCCCTTGAATGTAGTGCCTTTGCACTCAGCACATCCCCAGCCCCCCCCCCACTTTTTTTTTGTCTTTTTGAGACAGGGTCTCTCTACGCAGTTTAGGCTGACCCTGAGCCCACTTTGTAGCATAGGCTGGTCTTGAACTCACCACAGTCCTCCTGTCTCAGCCTCCTGAGCCTTTTTTGTTTTTTATTTTGAGATGTTTCCCAAGTTTCTAAATTGCCCAGGCTGGGCTTAAACTTGCCATCTTCCTCCCTCAGCATCCCAGAGTGCTGGGATTACAAGCAGGAGCCACCATGTCTGGCTGGGGCTTTTCTTCTTTAAAGCAAATCCTTGTCACAGGATGCAAGGGAACAAGAAATTGACCTGGGGTGACCAGAACTTGGCATTCTTTAGACAAGCAGACAAACTTCCAGGGGCTCAAGGAGAAAAGGAAGCCCCACTGAGTACTAAAGCACCACTGAGATCCACAGTAGACAGCTCTGCAGAGACCCTGGGCACTCAGCAAGGTGCTGCCCCTTGGCCCTGGTAGCAGAAGTCTTGTTACCCTTCCAGAAGGCTCTGGGCAGCACTCCTGAGCCTGAGGGCAGAAGAGCAGGATGGGTCCCTGGAGGAGGGAGGGAAGGGCAGGCACCAAGGAACCTCTCCTACCTGGGCCCAGATGCCATCATGTGCCTTCTGTTCTCAGCTTGCCTGCCTGGTCATGCAGGGAAGCCAGGAGGATCAAATAGATGACATCTAGTAACACAGGGCCCTGGGACTGGCAAAATGGGAACGGATTGGTGCAGCCACCTGACAGTCTTTGTTTGCATTGTTGCTCTGTGAGGGGAAGGTATCAAGTGGAGAGGGTGGCCCCACCCTGAGCCCTGCCCTTATGTGCCACTCCACTCACAGCACCCAGGTTGGGACTGGGACATAGAGCGTGTTAGGAACCAGGAGCTCACAGGAGTGGCAGTGGAGCTCTCTCCTGTCCTCTTGCCCCTACTTTTGGGATGAACCAGCTATTGCTGCCACAAGCCACCGAAAAGTGAGCACTTCCAGAGATAGCTCAGCTCGCCTCCTCTGGGGCTTCCCCTGCTGGGTCTGAGGAAGCCACTGGCTTGCCTGGGGATCACTTGGTCCCAGATGCTGTCGCTAGAATGGCTCCTTCCTTCACCCACATTCCTGAATCCTCCGGAAGGCTGGCCTAGGCTTGTCCCCACTGTGGCTGGGTGGATCCCATTCCCCATATGGCACAGGCCTGATTCTGCTACCTTTTACTGTCCACATCACAAGGCCAGTGTGGAGTCACTGGGGAGGAGAGAGACCCCATCTCTTCCTGGGAGGGATAGCAAAGTCACCTTGAGGTGTGACACACAGAGGGAACTGAGTGTGGCCAACATTAATAGCAACCTAGCACAGGGAGCGTAGGTATTCACTCTATGGGACAGGCCTGGCTGCCCAGAAGGTCCCACTAAAACCCGAAAAGTCATTGCCACCGGAAGTTACACGGTAAGAGTGTTCAGGAATATTTGTACCTCGGTGTCTATGGGGGTCTTCAGGACTCCCCACACGGATACCAACTCTGTGAACGCCCTGGTCCTTGTGCATGGGCACTGATGTGTGTAACCTCCACACACCCTCCCACACGTGTCCAATCTGCAGATGACTAACAGCAAAGCAGTGTCAGCGCCGCACAAGTAGCTGTTATGCTGTGTTTAAGGAGTAACGAGAAGAAAACAGTAAACGTGTTGTCTGCGGGCGCATATTTATTTTCTGTCTGCGGCTGGTGGAGTCTGGGAATGCGACACCCCCGGGGCTCCGGGCCCACTGGACACCTAGGTGTCTTCCTATGGCCAAGAAACTAGGTGCAGAGGGGGCAAAGACCTGGGAGCCTAAACAGGGCTGGATTTAGCAGCCCAGAGCTTAGAAGCCTCCAGCAACCGCAGCTTCTCTAGGGGGTTGGGACGAGGAAGGGAAAGCACTGCGAGGGGCAGATGAACGGAGATGACGCCAGCCTGCATCAACAGGGACAAGGACACGGGACGGCTCCCTTCCTCCCCGCCGGCTCGGGTCAGGGCTTCCCATTGGCCGGCCCCGCCGGAAGTTGGCGCGGGGCAGCCTGGGAAATGCAGTCCCGAGCTCGGCTGCAGCGTGGCAGCCGGGAAATGCCAGGCTCGCTTCCGTGGGTGCTGCGCGGCTCGGACTCCCGGTTCTACCCGAAGGCTTCGGCTTGATCTGCACAGCAGTAGAGGGGGAGTGGTGAGGGAGGTTCTGCCGCCCTGTTCCCAGCTGGAGGGGACCGGGCGATGAGGACCTGCGCCCTGGGTCCTCACTCTTGACCTTGCGTTCTCGGGGCCCTGCCGCCCGAGTGGAACTCAGGCTCCTGGTGAGCCAGAGTGGAGGTCCTGCCCCGTAGGGAGGCGACAGCCACCCCGCCCGTGTGGCCCGCGTCCCTGCTCCTGCCACCAGGCTTTTGCCTCAGGCCTCTCTTGCTCCTTGCTCAGCTCCGCCCAGCCCCCCCCCCCAATACAAGCCAGTGCCCAGGGGTTCCCAGAAAACCCAAAAAAGTTATGGCCCAAAACAGGGTACCCCAGGTGTCTACCCATAATGGAACCAAGTCAAAGCCCTGAAACTGAGAACTGAGAACCTCCAGAAAGTCTGGTTTTCGGGGAACCTGCTTCGAGCTAAATTAGACCTTCAGGCCCCCATCATTTCCAGGTGGGGTTCCGGAGTTGGGTATGGTGGTGCTTGCCTGTAAACTCAGCACTCGGGAGGCTGAAGCAGAAGGATAATTGCAAATTCAAGACTGGCCTGGGCTACAAAGTGAGCTTGAGACCAGCCTGAACTGCATAGCAAGACCCAGTCTCAAAAAGAGAAAAACAAACAATACTTCAGTACATCTGCTGTGTACAAAATCATACATCACCACTGTACCTGCTTTCATTTAATAATTCCCAGGATTCAGGATTATAAGAATTTCACATGGCATTGTATTGCAGGGGAAGAAATGGCAGTTCAGAGAGGTAGAGTGACCTACCCTGGGTCACACAGCTTGTTGATGAGCTATTTCCTAAGATGGAACAACCAGTGTGGATTGTGCCTGCTCCTGGTGTCTGAACAACCCTGAGTATCATCCAAGTGGCACCAGTGTCTTGTCATCACAAGCTGAGTTAGCACACCGCAAGAGGAAAGCCCAGGGCAGATGTCTGTCTGCCTTTCCTAATGAAAATGTCACATCACGAAGAATCTGTAGAGCTCCAGTCCTGCCACGTCATGCATAGTCCCTGAGGAGCCGGCAGTTTGCCCAAGGTGGAAGCCATGCCTGCCAGTGTGCAGCTAGAGCCTGTTTCTCAGCCTGTTACCTCTCCTACTGTGGCTGCCCTCAAGTTTCAGAGTTTCAATGGTTCAAACCCAGAGGGCCAGGTGGAGTGGGTTTGGTTTTCACATCTTCACAGGCTGTTGGTTTTACTCTTGAGTTAAAAGTGGAAAATCACTTTTTTTTTTTTTTTTCAGACACAGCCATTTCTCTCCCCACCTCGGTGGGTCTGCAGTCTGAGTGTGAACCGCAGGCAGACTCAGTGGTCAGAGCTCAATCCGACAGGTCCCCCAGGAGCACAGCCGCAGATGCTCAAGGATTCCGTGAGCACAATGTAAACTCTCATGCTTGAAAGGCACGAAGAGATCCTTACACTGCAGGAACAGGGAGCCCCTCAGAGCAGTGCTTCCACCTCCGGAGAGCTGGCTGACAGTGGCTGACCAAACACACCCCACCTCTTCCAATCTAGGAGGAGATGCAAGATTGCAAAGCAGTCAGTGTGACAATTTCAGCACAAGAAGTTACTCTGGAGACTTAAAGGGAGAAGAAAACACAGCATTCCCAGGCGGTGGAGGCTGGGGAGGCATAGAGGAGAAGGTGGTCTTTTACCTGGGCCTTGAAGGAGACTGTGGACTGCCACAGCCAGAGGGACTGCTCCATCGGACAGCCCAGCCCTCAAATGAGCCAGCTGTCACTCCTGTTCCTGGAAACCTGCAGCAGCCTCTTTTCCCAGCAGCCTCCCGTCCCCGGGACTGGTCCTGCTCAGCTTCCAGGCTCAGCCTGTTCAGTGTGGCACTGCAGCAATGGCAGGAAGGCTCAGGCAACTTGACCTTTCTGCCCCTTGGGTGGCTGTGCTGTGACCGCTTCACTGCTGTAGCCACTTCAACAAATTGTCCAGAGTTGGCTGGCTCTGCCCCAGTGCCCGCCTGGCCCACTGCCCACTCCTGCAGCCACATCCAGGGCAGGGGGCCCGAAGACCACTGCTGGGGGAGGCAGGTGGAGTGTCCCTGGATTGGTGGCCCCTGCAGGTGTTTTGCAGATGGACTCTCAGGGTTGACTTCAGTGTCCCCAGGGGCCATCAGGAAATGGTTGGTACTACTCTCCCCTCCTGCCTTCCCTTGATCTTTGGGGATTATGGGTATTTCCTGGCTGGAGTCAGTGGCCCCCTGGTTCTCCCAGAGCTTCCTGGGACAGTCACTTCTTCCCCAGGGGGGTCCTGGCGCCATGCACAAGGCCAGCTCACTGTCTTGTCTCCCACCCACCCTGGCACAGGTCCCCAGTCCCTGGGCAGCTGATGGGGACAGTCCTCCCTGTCCAGGCCTCAGGGAAGAGAACCCTGCAGGAAGCGGGGAGCTGAACCCCAGAGCCACTGCAGTTTGAGGGCCACCTTCTCAGAAAGCTCCCCAGCAAGTTCCCACAGCCAGCAAGCTGTGCCTCCCCTGGCCTTGTTCCACTTGCCATGGCTAAAAATACCCCAGATCCCGGGGTAGCCCTGGGGACAGGGGCCCAGAGTACCTGGCGTTATTAAAGGAGCAGCCAGGGTCAGCTGGCCTCCTGGGCCCTCCATGTCCTGTCTTCTCGGTGAGGTGTCCTGGGCTCCCTGCCCCTGTATCCCCACAAGGACCACTCTGTGTCCTGGCTGGAGCTGGGGCTTCTACAGATGTCAGAACAGCCTCTCACCTACAAAACAGAAGCTCCAATTCCTCTTACAAAACTACAGTTAGCAGCAAGACTAAAACAGAGTGTCCCCTTCCTGGCCATGGCCCAGTGGTTTTAATTCAAGTGGCTTCTTGTGTGACTCCCTGCTCAGCCTGGACCTGCAGCCTCTTTGAGGGTCTGAAGAAGGGATGGGTCCAGGAAAAGTAGTGAACCGCGTGCACCATGTACAGAAAGCTCTTGTAGTGGTGCACACCTGTCAGCCCAGCACTCGTGAAGCTGAGGCAGAATGATTGCTGTGAGTTTCCAGGCCAGCCTAGACTACATAATTCAAGGCCAGCCCAGGCTACATAGTAAAACCCTGTCTCAAAAGAAAAATAAATATAGAGATGTATAGACAGAGCAGGGAGTAGAGAGGGGAGGTATGGAAGGGGTGGGTCTTTGTAGGATGAATTTGATTTCCTCACAGAGGAAATGCAAAGTCAGAGATGTGCATTCACAGCAGAACGCGCAGGGGCACCTGAGGACTTTCAGGGGACTCGAAGGGCTGGCATCCTCTCGCCATGTAACAACCTAGCCCACAGGCAGGGCCCTGAGTCCTCCTGTGCAGGATCACAGTGTCGAAGGGTCAGGATCAGGGTCCGGGCCGGGCTGGTTCTCCATGCTGAGCAAGGGCAAGTGGTGCTGTGACCCACCTAAGCATGGTGGGGAGCAGCCTGCTTTGAGATCACCAGGGGCTCCTTTCTGTGCCCCAGCTTCTCCCTGGCCGAGACAGAGGCTACCCCACCCCCAGCTCCTGGGGACCACGGCCCTTTGCACCCTCTCTGTGGCAGTGAAAATTGAGTCTCCTAGGACTTCCTCGGGTGTTGCTTCTTACGGGAAACAGGTTTGACCCATGCTTTAGCACAGAGGGTGACGCAGGTGACCTCAGTGCCACCCTGGCATCCGGCTCCCCTTGCAATAGCAGGAAAGGAGTGGCCTGAGAAAGCCCTGGGGCACTACAGCCAGGAGCTTGAACTTTGTCCTCTGGGGGCAGGAAGTCACCAAACGGGGACAAGTGGGAAGGGCCAGGTGGGGCAGAGGAGGACCCAGCCTCACCTTTGGTCTCCATTCAAAGGTCACCTGGGCTCTTGCTCTACACCCGGCACAAAATGGCCACCCATCCTCACACTGCATGGTGCAAGGTGCAGCCAACTGTGTTACAGCGCGGGCTGCCCTGTGCTTTGTGTGTTCTTGGGTTGTCAACAACCGACTTTCCTCCTCTGCAGCACTCAAGGACCGTCCAGTACTCCTGCACCTCCGGAACAGTGCCCAGGTACAGGGTGTGCTCATAAAATCCCCGCTGAATGAATGAGTGAGTGAGTGAGTACATTTAAAAGATGCTTCAGCAAGCCGGGCATGGTGGCACGCACCTGTAATCCCCGCACTCAGGAGGCTGAGGCAGGAGGATCATTGCAAGTTCAAGACCAGTTTGAGCTACAAAGTGAGCTCAAGGCCAGCCTGAACTACATAGTGAGAGCCTCTCTCGAAATGATTTTAAAAAGTGCTTCGGCAATAGACTTGCTAGAACACATGCAATCAAAATGCCGGTGGTGGAGGGTGGGAGGCTTTCTCCCTGAGGGAACAGACAAGTGTCTCTGGCCCCGGCCTGTGAAGAAACTGCTGGCTGCCACTTTCTGGCTGTGTGACCCCAGACAGATCACTCAGCCCAGAGTTGCAACAGTAGGAGCGAGAATAACAGCGGCTTCCTCCTAGCGTCATGAAAGATAAGTGAAAAGTCTGGTCCTCTGTATAAGAGCATTGCACTGTGGACACAGACACACACAGAAGGCGTGCGCGCTGTGTTGGAAAATGAAAGCTCTTAAAATCTCACTCAAATGATACTCTAGCGCATGTGAGCAGCGCAGACCTGCTGGCTGCAATCCTGGCTTTCGATGTTTCCCACCTGCAGTGTTTTCTGATTGATCAGAGAGAAATCCCCAGGGTCTGCAAGGAAGCTTTTAATTGCTGCGGATGAGCCAATTTTGGGCTTCACTGCTCAAGCATATAACTGAGAAGGGAGAGAGAGAGGAAGGGAAGGAGAGAGGACCTCACTTCTGTTTTTATTTGTTTTCTGAGAGCATCTCCCTGTGTGGCCCAGGCTGGCCTCCAACTCCTCGTGACCCTCCTGCCTCAGCCTCTTGAGTGCACCCCCACACCCAGTGAGAGAGATCATTTTGAGGTCTCTGTGACATGTGGACAGTGGAGTCTCCTGAGCTGAAGTGACCTCGGATTGCCAGGCCTGACTCCCATAGCCTCTTCTTCTTGGCCCCTGTGGAAATCATAAGGTGACCATGATCTGGTGCTGTCCCAGAGGACCCCGGGCACACAGTGAGGCAGGGCAGCCCTCTGTGTTCAAGGTGATCTGGAATCACCAGGAGGAGCAGCGAAGGGGGGCAGTAGGGACCTCAAATACGACTGGGGGGTGTCACCCAGAGAGAACTCGTGGGGACATGCAGAGCAGGGCCACCAGGGAGCCCACCAGTGGCACTAAAGCTGTCCCAGGGGTGTCACAGCAGCTGCAGGGAGCTGAGGGGCAAAGTCACGATGGGAGCTGGGACTCAGACTCCCAGAAGGATGCCGCCAGCAGCTAAATCCAGTGCAGCACAAATACAACTAGTCCCTGCTTCCCAGCACCCGAAGGATTTGTGTGTGGCCTAACAGGAAATGCAACCTTGGTTTCTTGAGACAGAGTCTCACTGTGCAGCTTAGACCGGTCTCAAACTCACCTCGGTCCAGCCAGATGTGGTGGTGCACACCCAGCACTCTGGAAGCTGAGGCAATAGGATCACCATAAGTTTAAGGCCAGCCTGGGCAGCATAAGCGAGTTCAAAGTCAACCTGAACTACACAGTGAGGCCCCCAAAAAACAAGTTTTTGGAAAATATGCAAAATTATAAAGTTTATAAAAACTAAAATTTCTCCTTATCATATTATGAAGGAGCACATTCTCTCAGGTCAAAGAACTCCACAGGTCTCTCTACATCACTAAGTTTCCTGGGTGAAACTCAAACTTGCAATCCTCCTGCCTCAGCCTCCCAGCATGCTGGGATCGCAGGGCCACCAGAAGGCCCAGAGAGCTGTGAAGTAAGGAGGGGAGGAGGAGAGGGCAAGTGGGAACAGAATCCTGGCACTGCCTGCTGGCAGGGCCCCAGAAAATCGGGTTTGTGATGGAGGCAGCAGGCTCAGAGCACCCAGGACATCCTCAGGGAGACAGGGCCAGCTGAGTGGCCCCATCCTGGCAGCCTGCTCTGCAGCCAGGTGGGCAGCAGCAGCACCTTCTCCCTAGAGCGCCCTCCAGTGGCCTCTGCTGAGCGCCTGAGAAGCGGGGCAAGGTCTCTGTATCCTTGAGAGCCCTCATCGCCCACCTCGGAGCACCAAGGTGGGAGCTCCAGGAGGCAAAGCTGCCCAGGCCCCGAGGTCCAATGCTGAAGTCACGCAGTGGCTGCATGCAGGGCCCAAGTTCCCCCGCTTCTGCCTGGGCTGCAAGACAAGGTCACTGGCCACCACAGGGTGGCCTCACACACCTGCATCAATCACCCCATCTCCCTGTCACAGCTAGGGGAGCAGGGAGAGGGACCCCTACTATGTGGCCAACTTCTCTGTGGGTCCCGTGGGATCATCCAGCAACATTGCTGGCGTTTAGGTGTTTATTATTTATTTACTTTGTGTTTTTGAGACAAGGTCTTGGCTGTATGGCTCAGGCTGGTTTTGAGATCAAACAGATCTTCCTGCCTCAGCCTCCCAAAGGCTGAGACCACAAGCAAACACCACTGTGCCTGGCCACACCAGTGTTTGAAGCCCTATGACGAAGGCACTGAGGCTCAGGAGCTATGTCCAGCTGCAGGCTGGCCAAGGACGCCACTGGCAAAGGCAGCCCAGGCCCCACTGCCCACTCTGATGTCTGCTTCACACTGGCCTCAAGACCGAGGCCAGGATGTAGCATGACCTTGGGGCCATAGCCCACCCCTAGCCACCGCCTGGCTCCCAGCTGCTATCCCACAGCCATTACTCCTGCACACCACAGGCGTGTGCACTGACACACTCACACAGCCCCTCCCCTCCCCTCCCTCTGCACCCCACTCCCTGCCTCTCTCCTTACCCCTTAGAGAGCAGTCAGAAGGGTCTGGGTTCAAATCCCTGCTCTGTGGCTTGCCAGTGGTGTGGCTTTGGGCTACTTTATCCCTCTGGTCCTCAGTTTCTCCATTTGGAAAACAGTTGGTGGGAGCAGGGCTCCCTCACAGGATTATTGTGAGGATGAAACTTAGTGCAGCTGGGCATGGTGACACACACCTGAGATCCTAGCCCTTGGGTGGCTGAGGCAGGAAGTTCTTGGTGAGTTTCAGGCCAGCCTGAGCTCCACAGAGAGATCCTGTCTTTTTTTTTTTTTTTTTTTTTTTTTTTTTTATTTTTTTTTGTCTTTTTCTTTTTTTATCGGTACCGGGGATCGAACTCGCAACTGCCTGCTTGGAAGGCAGGCACTTATGCCGCTGAGCTAAATCCCCAGCCCCGAGAGATCCTGTCTTAAAACAACAGAAAGGAGGGGCTGGGGATTTAGCTCAGCGGCATAAGCGCCTGCGTTGCAAGCAGGCAGTCGTGAGATTGATCCCTGGTACCGATAAAAAGGAAAAAGACAAAAAAAACAGGAAAGAAGGAAGAGAGGAATTTTAGGATGACACCTTGAGCCTGAGCCAGGCCTGGGCCTTTGAGGTGGCCCCATGAGACAGCCCTGGTCCTGAGCCTGTGCTGGCCCTGCCTGGGGGACCCCAACAGCCAGGAGCAGAGGCAGTGGGCAGGGAGCACAGCCCCCTCAAGGCTGCGCCTCCTCCAACTGACCAACACCTTTGAGCCCTGGACCAGAGGCTGCTGTTAGCTAGGCCACCCTGACACCTACCCCAGGGGCCTCCCAGCCCGCCAGATGCCTTCTGCCCACCAAGCACCCAGCTCCTAGGTGCCACAAAGAGCCCTATGTCCCTGCCAGCCGGACAAAGAAGCTGTGTGCTCCGGGCTGATGCTGGTGGGCTGACGCTGGTTGAGCCCAGGGCTCCCTGTGGCGTGTGCAGTGCCCAGGCTCAGAAGTCACTGCTGGAGCCCAGCCTCTGTCCCCTCAGGGTCCCCCCAATAAACCTTGCCACACCCTGGGCCACCTGGGGCCACCGGGCTGCCCAGGGAGTGAGTCCCACTGCCTGGGTGTGCACGACAAGCCCCACCTTGGAAAAGCTGCATCCCAGTGCTGGGAAACACAAACAGTCCCCACCCCTCCCTCTCTGCACCTCCTCTCTCATGGCCACAAAGAAACCCCTTGCACGAGGGTCCTATACCCAGCCTGGCTCTGTTAGAGCAGCGTCCCTGTCTCCAGTCAGGCTGGGGCAGGTAGGTGTGGCAGCACGTATCTGTCCCAAGACTCTGGGAGGCTGACACAGGAGGATTCCAAGTTTGAGCACCGTCTGGACAACTTCTTGGGACCCCATCTCAAAATAAAAATACAAACACAGCCAGGAGTTGGGCTCAGCTGCAAAGTGCCTTCCTGGCAAGTGCAAGGTCCTGAGTTTGATCCCTGGAACCAAAAAAAAAAAAGGATTTGAAAAGGACGGGGTTGTAGCTAGTGTGAAGGCACTGGATTCCATCTCCAGTGCCCTAATCCTCCTCCTCCTGATCTGCACAGAGGAGACAGCAGGAGGCAAGGACAAAGGAGGGCGGAGCTTCAGCTGACACTGCAGGGCCAGCTCACCTCCTGCCACCTGTCCCTGACCAGAGTGGGGTGGGATCAAAGGCCTGCACTTCCCCCAGATGCAACTGGTCATACGCCCTACAGGAGAGTGGGAACAGCAAGTGAGGGACCTTTACCACCCCTGGGCCCTCTGCTCCCCAGAGGCTGGGGCAGGAGGATAGTCACAGGCTCAAGGCTGACCTCAGATATATAGTGGGTTTAAGGTCACACAGCAAGACTGTCTCCAAAAACAAAAACAAAACAAAATACAAGATGTTCTGACCAAGCTGCACCCTCAAGATGATAATTTCACAGAGGCTCCAAGGAGGCTGAACCCCCGGGTTCAGCCTTGCAGCCCATCCCCCACCCTGAGGGGCCCACCCAAGAGTTTCCCACTGGCAGACCACCTGCACCAGCCCTGAGGGACCCGGGAACCACAGGACAGAGATGGGGACAGACAGTCTGTGTGTTGAGCAGGCCTGGAAGTCATCTCCTCCACACCTGGCCTGGCCCCTTCCCCTCGGCCAGGGGCGAGGCCTCAATGAACATCACAGCTTTGTCCCTGGCCACCTCCAGGAGGCCCAGCAGATCCTTTCATGCTATCACATCTGGTGCCTGTGGTTTCCAGGTGGCAGTCAGACACTGGCACCACTTGGGTGGTCTCAGTGGAGACATAGTCCAGGCCAAGGGCCCAGTTCCTTCTCCATGAAGCATCACAGGTTCAGGTCTGCTCCACAAGGTCACAGTCCTGGGGCTGCAATAGGGTGGGAGGGGATCTCGAAGCCCAGAACTGCAGCCACATCCAGCTACCCTGTGTAAGCGAGGACCTCTCACACTGCCACCCCCCACCATCTCCATCACCTCATGGCCACTTGGGCCCCATTGCTGACCTCACTTGCCCCCTGCATGGCTCCTTCCCTGCATGATCAGGGGACCCAGTCCCTCGAGGCAGAAATGGCAGGGTGTGACCAGGTCCCCGAGGACCTGTGGCTTGCATGTCCCTCTCTGGGCTCCTGTACTCTGGGCTGAGTTGGTGGCCACACTGGGTAAACATCCAACAGCACCATAGAAAGGGTGGTGGCCATGTAGCAGGGGCCCCGCCCTGCAATACACTTCATTTGCCCAGGTGATAGTTCCTGTTTCAGTTCTGGTTGCTTCTGTCTCCTAGAAACGGCTGTCACTGTGTTGCACGTTTTATAAACCAATCCCCACTGGACAAGTCATTCCGCCTCTGTACTTCCTGCTCACTTATCCCATGTAAGCCCTGGACCACCAGAGATCTGGGCCTGGTACTCTGGGAACGATCCCAATCAGTGCTATTACATAAATAAATCTGCCTCCATATCCTGGGTGCCATTTTGGTGTTCAGTGTTCCTGTTTGCCGTTGCAGGCAGAGGCCTGGGACCTCCTCCCAGGTGACCTGCAGACCTGGGTCCCCACCTTGGCCAGTTGAGGGGCCAAGGACATCTAGCTGGGAAGCTCTGGAGCCAGACTGCCTTGCTGAGCCAGACTGGATCCTGACCCGCAGAGCCCTGGTGGATACAGATGACCATCATCATCTTGGTCCTGCATTGGTTCTGCAGGATGCACTGTCATGGTGCTGCAATGCTGACACTCTGGTGGTGAAGTCCCAGGGGCAGTAACCAGTCCAGAACACTGCTTTCTGGATCCCCTACTGTTCTGGATCCCCTACTGTTCTGGATCCCCTACTGGATCCCCTACTGACTGCCTCTCTCACTGGAGGTGGGAGAAACCCCTAATTCCAGCACTCTGGGAGGCTGACGCAGGAGGATGGCAAGTTCAAGTTCAGCTTGAGCTACTTAACAATGCAGCAAGACATTGTCTCAAATTAGAACTGAGAGATTTAGTTATGTGGCATAAGCGCCTGCCTGGCAAGTGCTAGGTCATGAGTTCGATCCCCGGTACCGAAAAAAAAAAAAAAGAAAAAGAAAATGGAAATTAGAACTGAAAAGGACTGCAGTATAGCTCATTGCAGAGGCCCTCGTTCAATCCCTGGTACTGAAGAAAAAAAAACCTGCATCCAGGCATGGTGATTCCAGCTGTCAACCCAGTGCTCAAGAAGCTGAATCAGGAGGATTACCTCAAGTTCAAGGCAACCCTGGACTACACAGTGAGTTAAAGGACAACTTGAACTGCATAGTGAGACCCTGTCTCAAAACAAAACCAAACCACAGAAGGGTGTTTAAAATGAGACAAAGTTCTCCAAATTATGTTCTTCTTACAAACTCCTGTACCACACTGAAGCCTTGAGCTCCTTTTCACACGTGCTGCTGCCCAGCCTCCCCTGCCCCGGGTTCTAGCCCTGGCTTTGTCCCCCGGGCACTGAATGGCCCCGATGCCACCCCCTGAGGCCCACTCAGCTCCCTCTCCAGACCAGAGGCTGTGCTGAGCAGCCAATGAACCCAAAAGGGCGCACACCTCATCCTGTGCTCTCTGTCCTGGGTGGGCTCAGCCCCAGATTCAGCCCCTGCCCAGCCCCAGGCCACTACAGTGGAGCCAGAGTGTGGAGGGCCAGTCCATAGCTCGTGCTCCTGTAACCCAACACCTTAGGCACCTTCCTTTTATAGTTTAAAAAATCAATAACCTACGCCCTGCAGCTGAGAAAGCTGAGGCAGGAGGACCTCAAATGCAAGGTCAGCCCAGGCAATTTAGGAAGACTTTGTCTCAAAATAAAAATAAAGACCCTGGATTCAACTCCCAGTACCACAAATATGTTAATTAATTTAATTAAATAAAATCAGTAAGCTATCAGCCCGGCCCTGGGCTTGTGAAAGCAGCCTCAGTTTCACGAAGACCTCAACAGGTGTTGGGGTGCTCCAGGGTGAGCCTAGTCCTGGTCCTGGTCCTGGTCCCCTTCTCCAGCTCACAGAGGTTGCCCCAGAATTGCCATGGACATCGCTGTACCCCAGTCAGGACCTTGATTCTCCCCAGCCCATGAGGAGTCTGTGCAAACATTCCTGGGTCTCCTCGGGATGGGGATGTCGACTCAGGCTCTGCCAGAAAGGAGGTGCGGGGCTGAGACCTCGCAGAGGGACGTCCCGCAAACAACTGCTGTGTTCCCACAGACACCTCAGGGGAGACGAGCTCGATGCTACCTCTTGGAGGGAGGGAAAGGCGGTCAGTGCCTTCTGGATCCTGTCTGGCCATCAAGGATGTGACCGGCAGTTGGTGACATCGAAGCTGACCAGGTTGGAGATCAGGCAGCTGTGTGGTCCACCAGCTTCCGCCTGCAGCCCCAGCACAGGGCAGGGCGTAGCAGGTCCTCTGCTGTTTGGGGATCAGACACCGACGCTTTGGGGACAAAGGGCTCAGCTGCAACTCGCTTCCAGGTCATTTAGAAAATCTAAGTATTTATGCACAATGAGAAACGCAGCCATGAGGCAAACGGAGTACGTGAACCTTCGGGGACTCGGGGCGAAAGGTGAAAGCAGTGCTTTGTTCCCGCCCTGACCTTCTGCTGAGAGGCCCTGTGACCGTGGTCCTGTTTTGTGACGCTGACACAGCCACGTCCTCGCTGGCTCTGGCCAGGGCCCCACCCTGGTGTCCCTGACCTCAGGCCGTGTCCTCCCCCAGGGGCCCCTGAGCAGGGAGCTGTGCCCAGAACGTGGCTCTGCCTGGGCATCTCCAGGAGCCTGGGGCCATGGGCAGGGCTTCTCGCAGGTGGCTGGGTAGAGGTTGTGATGCTAGGATTAAGGGGCGAGTGCTACACCACCACCCCAAGAGTGGGAGCCTGGATAAGATACCAGGGCCAGAAGGAGGGCTCTTTGTTGCTTACTGCTGCTGCTGATCTTCTGGCTGCCACGCCCCCCTGCCTGCCACCCTTGTTTGGAGCCGGACAACCACCGACTGACCCCTCGGCAAAGGTGAGCCAGAATGGACCTCTCCGCCTTTAGCTTTGAGGGTCAGGTATTTTGTCTCAGCAATGAGGAAAATAACAAGATGGTGGCTGGCCCTAAGGAATGTGCCACCTCACATCTCCCCCAGCAGGGATAGCAGGATAATGTGTATCCCTGGCTCAGAAAACAGAATGAGGGTAGAAGATATAGCTCAGGGGCACAGCGCCCACAGGCAAGCATGAGATGAGGTCATGAGTTCGATCCCAGGTGCCAAGGGGAAAAGAAAAAGAAAGGAAAAGTGTTCCCAAGCCAGCGTGCCCGACACAGGGACCATGGCTGGGCCACAGAGCGTTCCCACCACGGCAGAGTTCAGGAGCGCAGCGCTGCACAGAAATTGCACTTTCAAACTCAATGTTAGAAAATGAAAGGAAGAGGGGCTGGGGATTTAGCTCAGCGGCATAAGCACCTGCCTTGCAAGCAGGTGGTCGTGAGTTCGATCCCTGGTACTGATAAAAAGTGAAAAAAAAAAAAAGACACAAAAAAAAAAAAAAGAAAATGAAAGGAAGAAAAATGGAAGGAAGGAAGGAAAAGAGGGAGAAAGAGAGAGAGACAGAAAATAAAACTTCACACTCAGGAATTCATTTTTTATGCTGGCGGCCTTATCACCCCAACACCAGGTGTTCAAGGGCGGCACCCACTGGCCACAACGGGAATTGCAACCTAGCTCGATTGGCCACTAGCGCCACCTAGTCTGGGCGTCCTGAAGCCACTCAGGCCCCTGAGGCCCACAAGTTGGAGGAGCTGCGCGGCCAGGAGGGCTCAGGGACGAAGCACCGGGAATCAGCCAGATGCTTAATTCTGAGAGTTCCAAATGTACCACTATTTCTTTATCCTTTCTAACAATTTTTTTTTCAAATGGATACATCTCTACCATTACGAAATCTACACAGCCGTGGGATTCACTGTGTCACACAATTTTGCAGACACCACAGTGTTCAATAATCAAAGCCAGGACTGAGGAAGCTGAGGCAGGAGAATCACTGCAAGTTCGAGGCCAGCCTGAACTATGTATTCAGGTCCTGTCTCCAAAAACCAAAACAAATAAATAAAAATGAATCAATCATCAAGAATGAGAAGACATTGAAACTTTCGACTTTCTTGTAAAACACTAAAGATATCCCTGGTTTCTTCCTGTGACCTGCATGGAGGGAATGAAAGATGCTCCACCTGGTCGGGAGGCGGGGCTGACCCTGAGTGACCCGTGGATGACCTCACTTCTCAGACAATTCCAGGGCTCCTGATAGGGCTGTGGGATGAGTGGAAGGGGCCGCTCTCTGAGACCTGCACAGAAGGGCACACCAAGGTTGTCCCCAACCCAGAGACCACCCTGGGGGGGCTGGGCTGGGGCTCTGAGGACCTGGGGCCATCAGGGCTGGGAAACCAATGCTACTGGATGCAAACCCCAGCTAGGGTGTAGACAGCAATACAACCCCAGGGCTTAGGAGGACCGGATCTTGGGGAGCCCTCCATGACTCAGGCAGCACCCCCATCACCCCACTCTGAAGTCCCCTTCCCTCATGGCAGAAAGAAGGCTACTATCAAATCAACTAATAACAAATGCTGGCAGGGTTGTGGGGAAAAAGGAACCCTTCTCCACTGTTGGTGGGAGAGTATATTGGTACAACCACTGTGGAAATCAGTGTGGAGAGTCCTCAAAAAACTAAGACTAGAGGTCCCATTCAACCCAGCTATCCCCCTTATGTGTATCTTCCCAAAAGAATTAAAGGCATCATACCACAGTAATATATGTGCACCCATGTTTATAGCAGCATAGTTTGTAATAGCCAGATCTTGGGAAACAACCCCAGTGCCCATCAATCAAGGAATGGATAAAAAAGATGTGCTTTTTAATATACTGGAGTACTACTCTGCCATAAAGAAGGATACGCCTGAGACAGACCTAGGAAAGTGGATGCACCTTGAGTCTGTATTCTTAAGTGAAATAAATCAGACATGCGTGTAAATACCAAATTGTTTCTCTAGTGTGAGAAACCAAAAGTGTAAATAAGGACCAAAATGTGTAGTAGATGCTGTGAAATAGGAAGAAAATATTCAAATGGGGAGGGGAAAAGGAAGAGGGAAGGAGAGAAAAGAAAGAAGGGGAAAGTAAAAATAAGAGGGAGAAAAAAAAACACAGAAACAAAGATTTGTAAATGGGGGAGGGTTTGAAGGAAGATGACGGGGATGGGGGAAAAAAACAAGATATACCATGTATAGTACAAACTCTCTATGATGAATATGATCATTATTTATATCTAAAATATAATCAATAAAATCTAATTTAAAAATAGAATAAAAAAATAAAGTAATACCTTATCAGGCCAGGCATGGTGACACAGGCCTGTCACTCCAGCACCCTGGGAGGCTGAGGCAAGAAGATCCCCAGTTAGAGCCCAGCTTGGGCAACTTTGAAAGAATTTGTCTCAAAAGGAAAATTTGTGAAAAGGGCCAGGGACGTAGCTCAGTGTGAAGGCCCTGAGTTCAATTCTTAGTACTATAAAAATAGTCTTAAAAAAATAAATCACACACACAAAAGGGCATAGTGCCTTTAATCATATTTGCTGAAAGAGGAAAATGTTTCACATCTCTTGAGAAACGTGAGCACTCATTGTCTCATCCCTAGGCAGGGACAGTGACCAGAAGGCTGAGATGATGGAGAGATATGTATAACATGGGTGAGTCTCAAGAAACGAAACACACACACACACACACACACACACAAAAAAAAAAAAAAAAAGATACGAAACACAGAAGAAAAGAAACAGGCCATCAACACTGTGGAGGCTGAGGCAGGAGGATCACTGTGGATTGAGGCCAGCCTGAACTACACAGTGAGATCAAGGCCAGCCTTCAGTACGTGGTGATACCTGTCTCAAAAAAATGAAAGGGAGCTGAGGGCTTAGCTCAGCGGCATAAGTGCCTGCTTGCCAAACATGAGGTGGTGAGTTTCGGTTCCCGAAAGAGAAAAAGAAAGAAAGATGAGCTGTAATCCCAGCACTGCGGAGGCTGAGGCATGAGGATTCCTGTGAGTTTGGAGTTCACTATGAACTACATAGTGAGAAGCTATCTCAAAAAAAAGCAACAGACTGGTGTTACAGGCAGCTGAGTTCATTAGAAATATTCTAGGCAGTCAGACAGGGCTGGGCCCTCAAAGGAGCCAGTGCAGAAGACTAGGTACCTTGTAACCTTGGAGGAGACAAACACTTCTCACTGTGGGCCAGGCCTCAAGACAAAAGGCAAAGCAAATACACCTACATCCTAAAGATCCACAGTCCAGATAGTTCTCTGTCACCCTGAGGAAGCCAGGACTCAGCCTCCCACCCACTACGGTACGGAAGAGTCACTGCTGTTCAGCCTGCCGGCTCACTGTGTGCCTTGCTCCCCCATTTGCTCCTAATGTAATCAATTTTACCTGAGCAATTAATCTGATTGTTGACCACAGTTCTGTTCCCGCCTTATACCTACCTTGCCAGTTCGCATTTTCCCCACCTTGGATTCATCTAACCTCATGATTTTTTTACTCTATAAAAGTTCCTAGAAAAGACAGAGTCTTTGGCAACCCACTTGGGACCCCTTCTGTCTCGGACAGAGGCTTTCTTTCACCCAATAAATATATTTTGCTCTTAACCACTGTTGTTTGTAAAATTCACTCTTCAATAAGAACATGAACTTGCAGGTCATGAGTTCAATCCTTGGTACTAAAAAAGAAAAAAAAAAACACCACAAACTCATACTGGACAGGTCAGGAGCTTCATTCCTCTGTCACCAGCAGCAAAGGCTCACTTCTTCAGCGACGTGCTTTTTTTTGTTTTTTGTTTTGACATTAAATAAATTTTTATTTAAGAAATTTCAGGTGATTTCTATAATATTCCTTAAGGTCACTCAATGAGATTGTCATCTTTGAGATAGCCCTTTTTAAAGGAATTTGCTGATTAGTCCACTCATTCCATCTGTCCACAATTCTTTTATCTCCAGTTGAATTATGGACAATGACAACTTCAGAACTCCTGGGATCTTATCATCCAAATTTCTGCTGGTAATCTGTATTTTAGGAGTATTGATGGTAGATGGATCTGCCACTTTGCTGACACCCTAAATTAAAAAAATAATTATTATATTGACTATGAATAAAATGAGTATTTAAAAAATGTGCTTTTAAGAGAAAGAACAATGCCCACACACTTGTATCAAACAATGCTCAAAACCTGGCCAGCCCACCTAACTTTTGGAAATGCAGGGTAGAGAGGGAGGCCCGAGACGTCCTCTCCTTGACCCTGGCCCCTCAGGCCCTAGGGAGGCCTCATTGGGTAGGTCCCAGCCCAGGGGTCTGGCAGAGGAGCCTGGGCCCCTGAAGCCTGCACCCCTCGAGTCAGTGCTGCCTGTGTTGCCATCTTCCAGGTCCCACCTGTGCAGTTGTGGTGGCTGCTCCCAGGGACCCAGGACTGGGGCCAGAGTCTTGGGGGGATACGGGGATGGCCTGGACCCCCGCTCTCAGCTGGGACCCAAGGAGGTGTCGCTCAGAGCCACAGCTCTGGCACGGGGTTTGGGAGGAGAGGGGGGCTTAGCTAAGGGCCCCCAGAAAGCCAGGCAGGAAGTGGGGTGCGAGGGGGACGGGGCAGCCAGGCCCCTTTAAGCAAATCCCCGGCCTTGGGAAGCAGGGAGGAAATGAAAGCTGAGCCCGGCTGTAGCTGCTGGTGGCCGCATCTTGAGAGGTTCAGTGGAAACCTGTGCTGCCCTTCCAGTGCCCCCAAGCACCACCCTGGGCACCCCACTGGGATTTCCCATCAGGCCCTGGTGCAGCTGCTCCTGGGAGGCAAAAGTGAAGTGCAGGACACCTGCCCACTCTGCTGCCCACTGCCTCAGCTGCCTGAGTACCTGGGACCTGGGGTTTGTGTCATGGCCCCAGCTTCATTTTCTTAGCATGACCTTTTTCATTTCCCCCAAGTTGTATGTTAAAGTGGAAAACCTTGGGGAGCAAATAAAGTCACTGTTGTGTCAGGGCCAGCGAGCTGCTACTCTTCCAGCCTCTTAATCCACATGCATGGGACCCCAGCCTAGACACACACACACACACACTCTCTCTCTCTCACACATGCACACTCACACACACACTCAAATACTCTCAGTGGTCAAGCAAGAGGCAGACTGCTCTGGGAAAGCCACCTGTGCTGCTCAGTGGCCATGGCCTCGATGGTGACAAACTACAGGCCGTCATCTTCACAGCACCTCCCGTGGAAATGTGAGCTTGGTGTCTGCCTCTTTCCCAAGGGCTGAGAAGGACGAGCCCAGTGGAGCCCACCTGGCCTGTACCACCCCCTCGCTCCAGAGGACCCCAAGCATCCCCTATCCTGTGCTCTCAAGCCTTGCCCTGGGTGGAACCCCATCCCTGCTCCCTGCAGAGGACCTGTAGCCGTGGGGGCAGCTGGTGTGTCCTCCGGCTTGTTCCATGATAAACCTGTGCCCTTGAACACCAATCTCTGCTTCTTTATTCCTTTCTCCTAACAGATGGAGCTCAAAAACCCAAACCACACAAAAACTGGAGGAGCCTTGCTGAACAGGGCGTGCTGGGATCTGCGCTGTTCATGATGTCATTCTGGTGACCCCAAGGCAGGGACACAAACAAACAAAATGCCACAAGGTCACAGGATGATATCATCTCCCGGCCCCCCACACCGTGCACCTGCATCCATCCCGAATGAAAAGCTGCTCTGTGGCTCCCACTCCTGGACTTGATTTGTTGATTGTCTCCTCGGCAAGGCACACAGAGGCGACCCCCCCAAGGGCAACGCTGCCGACCTTCCTTCCGCCACCACCTCAGGTCCCCAGTGCCTAGCACAGTCCGGAGCTCAGCGGGGCGAGTGAATTCACCTCTTCCCTACAGTGACCCCTGCCCAGCGCTACAGCCACTCGTTGGCCTGCTTGGACCCTTGCTGCTGTAGTCACAGTGGTTTTTGTGTTTTTCTTATTTTAGTTTGGTCCTTTTTGTTTCTTTGCTTTTTTGAGACAGGGTCTGCGGTGTAGCCCAACAATCCTGCCTCAGCCTCCCAAATGCTGGGAGTGCGCCACCAATCCCAGCTGCACTTGCTTTCGGGTTCTTGCTGCTGTCACTGACTGGCAGAGTCACCCGGCCCTGCCCCTGCGGCCCTGCGTTGCACACTTCCTGTGAATGGTGCTCAATGGGTGGTCACCGCTCTGCGCAGTCACCACTCCCACCCTGCTAGCTCTCCAATACATGGAGTTTGTGTGCCCTAATATGCAAGAGTTCTAGAAACAACAAAGGTTAAGAGCATGAACTATTTTTCGGGCTAAAAAAAGTTTCTAAGAGAGACAGAAGGGAACCCACAAAATGGGTTGCTCAGGACCCCACTTCTCGGGGGAAGTTTTATAGAACAAAATTACAAGGTAGGTATAAGGTAGAGCAAAACCATGATCAGCCAAAAAGATTACAGGGATAGCTGCTTAGGTAATATTGATCCAATGGGAAATCACAAGGTGAATATAAAACGGGACAAAACTATGGCCAACAAGATTACAAGCACAGTTGCTTAGGGAACACTGATCCAATGGGGAAGCAGTTTGTGTAGCAAGTGTACAGGGAAAGAATGACTTCTTGGAGGCATGGTCAGGGACTCTTCCTGTCACACACACACACACCCCCGTGATTGATTGGCTACTTAAAATATCAAGAGGTCTGGCCTCTGGAGATGGGTGCAGTGCATCTCATCTCCTGCTCCAGCTCCTGGAGGGCCCTGCCCTGCCTATCCTGTGATATTTCTGCCTAACTTATCTGTCTACAATACCAGTGCCTGGGGACCCAGAAGAGGCAGTAAAATTAGAGGCTAGGAGCAAATTACAGAGGGTGAGCAGAAGGGCTGGCTGAAGGAGCCTCTCATTAGCGGGTCTCACAGGAAAGTCAAAGGCTCAGCAAGGCTGGACTTCTCTGCATGGGTGCTCCCATGTGGCCTCTCTGCACATGGCACCCCTCAGCTGTGAACCGGGGCTCAGAAGACTCCCAGTTCACAAGGTGCAAGATGGGTGATCAACCCAGTGTGACCAGGAGCACTAGGCATGAGTCTCCCACACTCATGCCAAATGCACAGGTGGTGCTGCTAGGCTTTGGCTAAGAGATAAGACCACCAGGGCTCTGCTCTGAGTAGTGAATCCATGGATGAGATCATCTGTGGCCTCACTGGGAGGTGACAGGGACAAGCAGGGGGGCTCTTTCCCTTCCAGACCACCTCCTGAGCCTCAAGTTATCTTCATCATCTCAGGCCCACCTGAGACAATGAACCTGTCCTCCCTTCTGGAGAGTGCCTGATGGGGAGCAAACACACACAGCCAAACACTTTATTACACACAGCTGAGTTAGAAATATTCCAGGCAGGCAAGGCCAGGCCTGTGGAAAAGGTATGGCTGGGTGTCAGAAAAGAGGAAATGACTCTAGCCCTGTACGTTCCCTTAGGAAGAACAGGCATGGTTGACATTCTAAATAGGCATCTGCACTACAAGGCTTGGCAAATATGGATTACTTTATAGTTGAAGCTAAGGACCAGGCCACAGTGTTTGGGAGGCTGAAGCAGAAAGATCACCGAGTTTGAGACCAGCCTGGGCTATAAAGTGAATTTAAGACCAGCCTGAACTGCACAGTGAAGCCCTATCTCAAAGACAAAAAAAAAAAAAAAAAAAAAAAAAGATTAAAACCAAAAAAATGGCAACCAAACTCCCAACATGTAATCACTTTGGGGAGCCCAGCTTGGCCAGCAGCGTATATGGACTGTATGTGGAAGGCTGGGTGGACAGGATAGCTCTGGCACTGGACCTCAGCAAGCCCCACCCCTTCCAGCTGTCACAGGGGTGCTAAGGCCTGCACTCAGTGCCTCCTCCATGAACACACAGAACAGCCCCAGCGAAAGCAGTGTGCAAGCTGGCTCAGACCAGGCACTTGCCCTTCCAAGGCAGTTTCTGCTAGGGAAAGCATCGAATCCCTCCAGTGGCTTTGCAGGCTGTATTGCAAGGCGCTAACTTACCCGCCCACTTTCACTCCCTGCTCACACTGGGCAGTGAGGTTCCACCTCTTGAGGAAATGCACTGACACTGTGATGCCTTCACATTGCATGTGCCATTGTCCTGCCAGAGGTGAGCACAGAGGCACAGACTTAGTGGTTCTGTGCCACTGCCCAGTTGTACCAGAGCAGGTCTGAGGTGGAGCCTGCAGGCGCGAGGCCAGTTAGGCCCAGGTGAACAGCTGTCAAGCAGCAGTCCGATCTCTGAAGTATGAATTGAACCTGAACCACTGAGACCCCCAGGACAGTGGCCTGTAGCTTAAGAAAGCAGCTTCTGTCACTGGAACACTCAGGGGTGTCCCCCAGCCAAATACCAGATGGGCTGGATCACTGCAAATTGCAGCGACTACAGGAGGCCCCATAGGCAGGGCTGACACTTCTGCCACCGAGTGGCCAGATGCCTATTCCAGCTACTGGCAATGCTCCCTCAGTGGCTACACTGCAGTCTGGGCAGTGCCCAGCTGGGTATCAGTTAGGAGAAAAGCCAAAAAGGTACAGTAATCTCACCCCAAAAACAGAGGTGAAAGGAGTGGAAGCCAGAGCAGACCTGGCTAGGGCTTTAGGTGGATACCACTCACTCAGAGCTGCCAGACCCCAAGTGACCTTATGTGGTCCCCGTCATCTGCTCTGCCCCACAACCTCTAATAAAGGATTGGTCAACAGCTTTTAAAGATAGCACCATTAGAAGGGGCTGGAGGTTTAGCTATAGCATCTGCCTTGCAAGCAGGCAGTTGTGAGTTCGATCCCCGGTACCGAGGAAAAAGAAAAAAAAAAAAAAAAAAAAAAAAAAAAGATAGCACCATTAGAATGACGATGAAGGCCACCTGAAACCATGTTTCTGGACACATTCAACCTTGCTGTCACAAAACCACTCAGCAGCAGCAGGATTTCTTGTTTTATTTTACACTGTATAAAAAAACAGCAGCCCAGACACACAGTTCCCGCCACCAGGGAGGGCTCTCCCTCCGGCCATCTCCACCATGAAGCCGACTGGTGGGTGTGGGAAGCACCTCCTGCAGCATGGACTCGACTGGGGCATGCGGGCTGGGGACTGCACCTGTGCGCCCACAGCTCCCCACCTCCTGGGGGACAGGAGAGTCCAGTGTTTGGGGGCTGCCACACCGAGGTATTAATGTAGGAGGAAACATTAGTCATATCCAAGTAGCATGCAATAAAAATGTTTGAACCAACATGGTTAAGTGTTAAAAGATTTTTAGAAATCAGAGTATTTATTCACATAATTGGAGGCTAAAGTCAAAGCTAATGCTCTACAGCAGTGACAGAAGTGCAACTCTCCTCCCCCGAGGCAGGCAAGGGCCAAGTGGTCAGTTGCTCTTGAACAAGTCGATGCAGCTCTGCAGGAGAGAGACGTTGTTCTGGAAAGGAAACCACACCACAGTCAAGGCAGCTCCTGCGGGTACCTAAGAACCACCAGGGTTCATCCCACAGTAAGACACGCAAGCACTCAACAGGTATGGGAGAAGGGAGCCTCTGCCTCAGAGGTGCACACTGTGTAGCTGCCCTGGCCCCAGTTCCATGCCCAGGACTGGCAGGCCCAAGCCACGGGTGCCACGATCAATAAAAATCCTAATGACTGTAAAAGTCATCACCCAGCTCTTTCTATAGACATCTCTTTGGCAAATGAGAAAGGGACATGTTAGGAACACATGCGAATTCCAATTAATGCCCCATCCCTTCCATAAGGTGATGCCCTGCAACTCCACAGGGCTGACCTAAGAAATCTAAGGAAGAGCTAGCTTCCCATGCCCTGCCCAAGACCACGTCTCACCAAGCCACAGGCAGGCACTGCCTGCTCCATGGCAGGGGACACTGGGAGCTTGGCTGAGTTAGAGGCCACCCTGGACAGTGCCCCGAGGGCTGTAGACTGTAGCACCTCAAGACCCCAGTGGATCTGCCAGGCCCAGCAGAGGCCACTCCCTCATTCCTATGCTGGACCAAGCTGCATAGGCAAAACACAGGCTTGGCTTCCTCTAAAACCAGAGAGTGGTGCTGGAAGACAACCGCAAGAGAGGGTTCTCCTAAAGCAGCAGCGTTCCAGGACAGCCAGGGCGCAGAGGAGCCTGCAGATACAACCTCTGGCAGGCTCATTTGCTCTGTGGCCTGCAAGGACCCTCACTGCAGGGGCCAGGGCCTCCCAAGAACACTCCTCCAGAGGCACTTTAGGATCAGGGGTTCAGCTTGCAGTAGCTGAGTCACCACTGAACACACTGCAGGGTACCAAGCACGAGGCTGGCGCCCCCACCACCTGCAGCAACGCTTACTCTTGCATGCTTGATTTCCAGCTCTGACATCTCGATCAGATTCTTCCTAAATGCAGCCACTCTCTTCCGTTTGAAGTTCACCAGTTCTACAGAAAGAAGTGCAGTGTTTACCAAGCCAAGCTCACAGAGCCAGACCATCCTGGCAGCACTGGGGATGGAGCCCAGAGCCTCACATGGCAGACAAACACCCTTCCTGGAGCAACCCCTCAGCCCATTTTATCTGAGACAGGGCGTCATGAAGTTGCCAGGCTGGCATTGAGCTTGCTGGGGTCCTCCTGCCTCACAGCTCCTGAGCAGCTGTGACTCCAGCCATCATCATTCCCACAACAGACCCGCAAAGTCCTCTTGCTCAGTTTTTAATGAACTGGGGCAGGCACAGATGTGTTAGGGTCACCGTGATCTGAAGCAGCACAGACCACTCAGCAAGTACCCAGGAGGATCTGTGCCCACAACCTCACTGGCACTCATAAAGGAGCAGACATGAGACCTCACGCTGTGCTCTGTAGGTAGTCAGCACCTGCAGATGCTAAGGACTCACTTTTTTAAATGTAAGGAAGGAAATTGTGAGAACTGCTGGCTTTCCTGGGTGGCTGGGTTTGCTTCAGATCCAACCCGTACAGGCCAGCGTGGGGGGTGCCTAGCAGTAACCTCGGCACTCTGGGAGGCTGAGGCAGTGGGATCAGAAATCTGAGCCCAGCTTACACAACTTAATGACTCAGTGAGACCTTTACTGCAGGGAGCAGCTGTTTCCAGCAGGGAGTGGGTCAAGGAGCAGGAAGGGCAGCTTGTAGGTGGCCTGGGGGGCGGGGGGTACCTTCTACACGCAGGGAAGCTGGACACCCCACTTCACAAGGAGGGCCACATGCCACACCACCTAGTCATGTCTAAGCATAAGGAAACAGACTGCCAAGTCCAGGGACCGCCTATTTGTGAGAGATGATCTTTGGGACAGTCACCATGGCCAAGGTACACAGCAAACACTGTTCCAGGGCAAAGAAGGCCCTCATATGGAGGCTCAGGCAGGATGTGGGATGGAAGGTCACGCATACAGCCAAATCCTGTGCAGCCCCAAAAAGCCAGGCATGTGCTCATCAATAGGCCTGTGAAGGCAAGGGTGTGCAAGTGACAAAGACTGGGGCAGATGTTGATGACTAGTGCCCGGCAGCAGCCACATGTATGTCCGCACTTGTGTACAACTGGTCCCTCTCTGAAAGCCTGGAACGATGCCCACATTGAACACAAAAGGCCCCAAGAGTGGCTGTGCTCAACCTTCCTTCGCGGACTCTGAGAGCTGCTCAAACTTCTGACAGCACTGCTGCTGGTGCGCCTCAGCGGTCTTCACATCACGGCTCTTTAGTCGGGCCTTGTCCAGGGCTTTGTTCGAGTTCTCGTAGTCAATGAGGGCTTTGGTTCGCCTGTATAGGAGGTCCTGGGAGGAAAGGTCAGGGACAGCATAAAACCTCTGGACAACACAGGAGCCCCTCACCTCCTTCCAAGTCAGTCTAGAGGTTCATAGAAGCAGAAGCAGTGCACAGCCAGTATCTCAGAGCTGTCCAGAGATTTCATACAGCTCAGATGAAAAAGTCCAGAATGAAGGCAAAACACTAAACTACTGCTGGGGGAGTCGGGGGGACAAAGCTGCCATATCAACCCTGCTTCAGGGACCCCACACTGTGGTCCCCTTGCCTCTGACAGGGAAGCAGGAGTTCCCACAGCACTAACAGCAGGCAGTTACGACGTGACACGGACTGTGCAATCTCCAGTATGTTCAATACTGAGAACTGCTGAAGCTCACCGACATTATGATCTCAACTTTTACATACATGCAAAAAATATTAAACTCTTATCCTGTCAAACTAGAGAAAGTACCATAAATCCTTGGTCTAAATCCTAAATCTCCTGGATGACAGCAAGTAGCATGCACAAAGCCTGCTCCAACTGTGGGAAGAAGCGCAGCCGGAGGACACGAGGCGAGGATGCCTGCCCAGCCCGCTCACCTTGGCCGCCTCAATGTTGAGCATGTAGTACCGGAGCAGCTCCGTCAGCTTCAGGTCTTCGTCTGACGACACGCGACCCTCCACTTTCTGGTTAAGTAATGGAGCAGTCACTATCAAGGCAGATGTCTACAAACTATTAAATCTGTATCATCAAGGACACAAAAATCTTACCCGAAGTTTTTCAAATAGCTCAGCAACCTTCAATAGGTACCTGAAAATGTACACAAGACAAAGCTGCCATTTAAAGTCCTGCAAAGTGATGTGATATGACCTTATCAATACACTTACATGTGACTGTCTCCTACTGGAAATACTCATGACAAAGCCCTTCAAGAAACTAGGGCACCACCAAGCCAAACAGCAAGAGCCAACTGCCTGAGGATGTGAGCTGGAATCCTCCCCAAGGTGCTCCAGATTGCTCAACTGCCGACAGGACACCCACTGTTTCTACACTGTCCCTTACCCACTGGTAACGAGCTTGTCGAACACTCACTTCTTGATGACGGTGGGCTCCTCCAGGGCCAGGCTCTGCAGGCAGGCTGCTGTGTGGATGTAGTCATCGGCGACACCTGCAGAGACAGGCACGGCCCTCTGCAGAGAGGGGCACGAGTGTGGCAGGGCCCAGGGCCGTGCAGGGTAGGCACTTACTTTTGTGTGCCCTGGTCATCTTGTCGGCTTTGCCACAGGAGTCCTTGATCCTGTTGTAATAGTTCACCAGGAAGTTCTTCTCCTGCTCGAAGAAGTCATCCACTTCCTGAGGGGAGGAAAGAAGAAATAAGCAGAACCTCAACACGTAAGCATGTGTCTGGAGACTTCTACATCTGAAGGTACTGCCTGACACCCGGGCCCAGCACTGCCCACAAGGACATGAGAACTGTGACATTTCCCTGACCCATCAGATACACATGTGCAAGCACCATACTGTTTCTCTAGTGTGAGGAGCTGGAAGATGCTATGCATATAAAATATAGGTAAGACAGGCTATGATCCGAGTTCACTGAAGAGAAAGATCTGCTGTTCTAGTACAGTTCAGACAACTCAACACAGATGTCTTATGCTCTGGGTGACTGAGCTGGGGGAGGCAACCCCAATGCATGCACCATTACTGTCCTGATTGTTGCCCAGTTCAGCCAGCCTTGAAGAGGACAAGGCTGTTCTGGGGAGGTGACAGCCATTGGCGGGGACAGCCTGTGCTGCTACAGCTGGGCAGCCCCTGAAGCCTTGGATGTAGGGCAGGCCAGGCAGGGGTGCTGTGTGGAGGCAGGTGAGCACCTTGAAGCTGAACAAGGGTACTGTAACCACTCCTCTAAGCCTGGGTCATGGTTGTGCCCCATAACCAAGAGAACCTAGTCTGAAAGGTTGCCAACCACATCACAAGGACCCTTAAGACCACATTCCCCAAGATGGAGAACTTCCCCACCGAAAGCCCCCTCCCTGTACCTTAACTCCAGAAAAGAGAACCTCGTCGGCACTCTTCACCACGCTCTTGAAAAACCCACCAAACACCTCTTTGGTGTTCTTCCGCCTGACGCTGAGCTACAAAAGAAGGAAATCCCAAAAGATGAGTTATCCTTCATGGTCTCCTGGGGCTCCCATGCTGGCCCCCCAGCATCCCCAACATTGTTCTGATAACACAGGGGCACCAGCCTCACCAGGCCAGGATGGGTAGGGCCTCCCAGAGCCCAAGTGCAGCCGCGCGGGTACCAGGTGTTTGGCTTCTTGGTCCATGGAGCCACCACCGTGCTGCTTTAGCACACATTGCCTACCAGGCTCCCAGTGGCAGGAGACACTGAAGAAACGCCCATGTCAGGGCTCACCTCACACAACTCAACCAACTCTGACAACAAAGTTTTCAGTTGCCCTGGGTAGGCTCAAACTTGCAGTCCTCCTGTGTCAGCTGCACTGACAGGCATATGTCACCTCACCGGCCTACCTACATACTTTAACTCAAAGGACCAGATAAGAAATCCAGTGCCTTACATCCTGGTCGTACTCCAGGAACACGTGGAAGTTGCGGTCTTTACTGAGGACAGGGTGAGAGGACAGCCGCTGCAGGAAGACCTCATGGGAGGACACGGTCTTCTTAAAGACAGCAAGGTACTCCCTGCAAAGACACACGGCACCCGCTGGCATGCTCCCTCATCCCCCACCATGGGGCTGCTCTGCTGTCACGGTGGAAACAGGACCACAGTGACAGTGGCGCAGCACCCTGATCCCGCTTGGGAATCCAGTCGGGTACTGAAGACAGAGGGACCCAGTGTGGAGGAGTGATGTGGTTCGGGCCTGGCTGGACAGGCAGGAGCTACAGGGAGCTTCTGAGCTAAGAGCAGGGGGCAGGAAAACCCAGGCCTGAAGCTCACCTCACACCTGCTGAGTAAAAGACTCAGAATACAGGATTTTCCTACCTTTCATACATTTAAAAGTTTTGTCTATGGTTTCAGAGTTCACATTTGATTTGTCAGACTTTTGCTTTAAAGCCAAATACTAGTTTTAAAGAACATCTTGAGAATGCAAGCCTACAACTATGACAAAGAATCCATTTTTGCTCAAAAATGACCACCCATTCAGATGATCTGTCTAGGACCCCTCCTAGGCACCATCAGAGCTGCTATGTGGAAGGGCCCAGCAGCACTCTCTGCACGCAGTTTCACTCATAGGTCTAATAACCAGACTTCAAGGGTAAATAATCTTGGTATCAGCAGCCTGAAAATGTATAAAGAACCCGGTGTGATGCTACATACTTGCAACCCCAGAACCGAGGAGGCTGCCATGAGTTTGAGGCCAGACTGGGATACATACTGGCAGAAAGCCACTGCCTCAAAACAAAACAACAAAAACTGCATTGTTTCTTTCTGCATTGTTCAGGCCCCACCCTAACAGGTACCACCTTTCAGGAGGCAAAAGCAGCCTGTACCAGGTTAGTGATCGCCGAGGAGCAGGCAACTAAGTTACCTGGACACACTAAAAAATCCAACAGCTGGGGCTATGGCTCAGCTGCACAAGTGCCTGTCCGGCAACTGGGAGGTCATGAGTTTGATCCCCAACACAGCCTTGCTGCTGCTCCTCCCGCACCGCGCCCAATGCTACCCGGTGAGTGCACTCACGCCTCCAACTCCTGCTTCATCTTGGCGAATTCCTCTTTGGTCATGGACCCTTCCCCCTCTCCCAGCTTCTGCATCTTCTCACGAGGGCTGTCAAAGTCTGGCTTCGTAGGAGCGGGAGGGATCTGCAGCAGGAATGGGGACCATGAGCATATCGCTGTCCACCCTGCTGGACAAAGGCCGTGCTCAGCTACACCTGGGGGCAAAACATCTTTTCCCAACACCTCGACAGAGTTAGATGCCAGCATCTGAAGGAATCTCTTTCTAATCCCAGAGGGTCATCAAGAGTGTCATTTAGAACAAAAGCTACTTTTCTACACAGGCGTCAAGCACTGATTTTGTTTCACAACTTGTGTTATTAAGAAACCAGCATCTGGCAGGTTTCTGCTCTCCCCGAAGCTTGGGACGTACCTGCTCCTCATCCAAGCCCCATTCCTGCAAGCAAGGGCTGACTGATAGCCCTGTGGCACCAGGGAAATCTCAATGCACACCCTCAACAACACTAAGGCTTCCTAGAAACCAATCCTATTGAAGTCAGAGAAAAGAGAAAAACCAAACCAAAAGGTAGCCAAGATCTGAACCCCAAGGCTGCCAGCCCTCTCACAGCACGCAGCATGACCTGAGCCCCACGCACTGCTCTCTGCACTTTCACTTTACCCATGGGCTTTGTTTCCCTTACTCACAATAAGCCCAGCGTAGTCTGGCGTTTCAATGAGGGTGTCGTGCAGCCACACAAAGTCTTCATGTTGCCTCGTGACAGAAAACTCTGGACTCTGAAACGTGGGCAGTGTGGTCTGCAGAGACAAGGAAGCTGCTGACTGATATGTAGCACCTTATGGGGTGCCCTAGACAGCACTGTGGCAAAATTCTGCTGAAAACATCTCAGTCAGAGCCCTTCGAGGACAAAGCACCCAGTACTTGGGAGGCTGAGGCAGGAGGATCACTGTGAGTTTGAGGACAGCCTGAGCTACAAAGAGAATTCAAGAATAGCTTGAACTGCATAGCAAGGCTGTGTCTCAAAAAAGAGCACTACTACTGCATCTCTCCACCAAGAATGTTAGCAGCCAATACTCAGAACTGACTGTTAAGGATGCAGTCTTTTTAACATGAAGTCTCTCTTCTAAAACTTGCCATGAACATCCAACTGAAGGGACAATATACCAATAAAAGAAAAAAATTCCAGCAAGTTAGAATCTATGGGTTGGGTGAGAACTACACCACTGCCCCAGCGCAGCAGCAGCCTGTGCTCACAAGGGACTGAACCCCCACCCTCGCTTACCTTGGTGTGCACTGTGAACTTGACCTTGTCTCGCTCACTTAGTGCATCAGGTATGTCGATCTGCAGCGAAGGGTCGACATTTAGGTCCACAGATACAGATCGCAGCTGAAACAGAATTTCAGTTATTAGCCTGATTCACTTTAGTCCCCAAAGCACCTTTCAAATAAACAAGGTGGCCCCTGAGAAGCAGTGCATAGCTAGATCACTTAGGGTGAAGTCCCACAGAGATGTATCTACATTGGAGGGAAGCGTGTTCTTCAGCCTGAGTGTCTGAAACAATCCTGTCACCTGAACAAAGCCACTGTGTAATCCTAGCGGGAGGCCCAGCTCAGGAGAAATGCATTTACTCACAGGCCTGCCAAGCACTAAGGTTTACCTACGTGGGAATAAATGCTTGACTTCTCCCACAAACCCTCAAGTATGCAAATATTCAGAAGTGTTCATCACACTACGCAAAGATGTTTTTTCTAGTACTGAGGATTGAACCACACTACCAGCCCTTCTTTAAATTTTTAGTTTTAAGACAAGGTCTCACTGAATTGTTGTCAAACTTGTGTGGTCCTCATGTCTCAGCCTCCTACACTGGAGTTATGGGGACACTCGAGGATCTGAAAGACTCCAGAGCCCAGGAAAACCTCCCCAGGAACATGCAGAACTGCCTGGTAGGCTGGACAGATAAATGAACCTGTCAGTATTCAGACTGCTCCCAATTGCTGAGACGTCAAGACAGAAAGGGCTAAACACAATGCCCTCTGCAGAGGGAAGCACTGGTGGGAGCCCCACCCCTCTGTGAGCTAGAAGTTCAGAGGGAAAACCATGGGACTCTACTTTTCTCAATTTAAACACTTTTCTTCAGAGTAACACAAGCAGCACAGGAAAACATGACTGAATGGTTCTCCGGCTCAGTTTAAAACCAGGTGAGGGCCTGAAGCCAGCTGGCCAGGGTGCGGCTTCCCCATTCCTCTTTCTGTTCCCATTGCTGAGGTGAAGTTGCACAGACCACTAACAGAGACTTAGACATATTCTTCTCTTTCTCTCTGGGCACCCTTCAAAGCACTTCCCTTTTCTTTGAACACTGTGATGTCAACATATTTTTCTCCAAATTATAAAAAATACACTAGCCATAGCCCTTGGATAGCTTTCAACAGAACACTGATTGTAGTACCCATTACTAATGAGATCATGATAAATCAATTCCAATCCCCAAACCTCAGCCCAGGTGCCTTTTCCTCCCAGTGCCTTTGTAACAACAGGTACAAGCCACTGCGCTTTGGTTTATGGCTCACATAGTCCTGACACCTCTGCACAAAAATAAAGCTTGATGGCTGGGGGTGGTGGTACATGCTTGCAGTCCCAGCACTGGGGAGGCTAAGGCAGATCACCAGAGTTCAAGGCCAGTCTGGACTACATCTGAGACCCTCAAAAAAAAAAAAAAAGGGACACTTCATTGTATCACATGTGACCCTGGCTCTCATGGAGTCCTGATAAAAACTTCTTTCTTCCTGAGAAATAAAAACCAACACAGATGCAACGTGACCATGCCAGGCACCGGAAGCCTGGTGACACCACCTATCCTGTGCTCTCAGGGGCGGGAGGCCAACTGCAGAGCCAGCCAGATGGAGTGGGGAGGAGATGTGCTTCCTGGAGGGCAGCCAGACGAAGAGCTTGAACTCTCTGGATTCACTTCCTCAGGAAGTCACAGCCCTGACCTCCACCTCAGTATGCAAGCAGTTCCACTCTGCTGACTATGAGAGTGAACACAAAATTCGGGGTCCAGAACCTAAAGAGGATACAATCAAGTAAATAAATGGAGTTCATTCTGGTACCACAGTTAAGGCTGCGGTGCTGCTTGTCTAGGGTGCATGAGGCCTGGGGCTTGATCCCTAACACCAAATATACAAAAAAGTTTTTTTTTTTTAAAAAAACAGAAGTTAACTAAAAGGGTCAGGGATTTAGCTCAGTGGCTCAAGCACTTGTCTGGTAAGTGCAAAGTCATCAGTTCAATCCCAGGTACCAAAAACCAAAGGTTTTTTTTTTTTTTTTTTTTGAAAACTGCCCCTCTGGCAGCATCTGTGGCCCAGCACTGGATGTGACAGCCTCTAGTGTCACACAATCAATCAGCATGGCAGCCACAGGACTGGGACCACAAACGAGATCTACACCATGTTTACAGGGAAGAGACTCAGCAGCAGCCTAGGTGTCATGAATGGACGAAGGCATGAAGACAATGGGGCCCGCACAATGCAACAAAGGGTGGAATCACATCATCTGCAGGAAGCAAAAGCCAGCAGGTTAGGTGAAACAGACCAGACTGGGAAAGATGAGTAGGGCATGTTTCTCTGCTGCGTGGAATCTAAGAAGATAACATGGGGGTGGGGGTGGGGAGATTCACCAAGGGTTGTCTGGGATGGGTGGGGGAGCTGAGCAGAATGCACACACACAGCAAACACCATGCAGAACTCCAACAGTACTTGTAAAATAATTAAGCACTAACAGAACATTAAAAATAAACCAAGAGTATGTTCTCACAGGTTACTGGCAAAGTTCCCCAGGTGACCACGGGCACCCTCCAGCACCAAGTTGAAAGACCCAGATAGGACAGCAAGCCCCCATGAAGAGCCCAAGTTTAAGGCCAGCTTAGACTACTTAAGATCTCGTGGGGGGGGGGGACACTATGAAATGCTTAGTTGCTGGATCAGTATGTGAACCCTCCCTTGGCAGAACCGAGGGTGAGCCCCTGGTTCAGCGTTCCTCCTTATGCTCAGTCAAGGAAACCACGATCCTCTCACCCTGTTCTGCAGTACAGTCCTTGACAAAGAAGTCACCAGGCTCCAGAGGCACTGTCTTGCTCCTCTTGCTCAGAGTGGGCCACTACTCAGCTCTGCTGCCAACCCAGACCCCTGACTGTCCTGCCTGAGTGGCCACTATTAATCTAAGCCAGCAGGGAAGGATCACCTCAGTTCCGGTCCTCCTGTCTCTCTCATCCTGCCCAAGTCTGCAGAGAATCATGGAATTTGGTTGATATCTGACTCCTGCAGACTTCCTTAAGAGATCCCCACAGCCCACACCCCGTGTCTCAGACTGCTTTCTCACTGCAGGAAAAATAGAGGAGTGTAGTGCTGCTGCGCTTAGAAAGCCTGGATCCAGCTGGTTTGGGGAAGAGGCAGTGCACTTCCAGTCCAGCATCAGGCAACAGCTGAAGATACCTGTTGGCCTCAGCTGCTGCTGCTACTGACCCGGGCCAGCACCTACTCTGTGCCCAAATCTCACTTGATTCTGTTCATTGGCTAACCAGACAACACAGAAGCCAAGATTGCAATTCGGAACCCAGACACTGGCCTAGCCTGGTGCCACACACCTGCAAGGACAAAAGCAAGCTCCAAATAACCTGTTCCTAGACTATGGCTGGACTGTCAGCTCTTTGCACACAGTTCTGTAAATCCCAACACTGGGGAGGCTATGGCAGGAGGATCTCCAGGAGCTCGAGGCCAGCTTCAAGTACACATACACACACACAAAAAGCTAAAATGTTTTAGTACCGTCTATGAATATTGCTGTTTTTCCCACCACTTAGTCTCCTGACACCTTGCTGTGGCAATGGTACATGAGAAGTGCACCCAGCTCCAGCAGGTCACTGGGTCTCATCCCTGCCCTCACTGGCTATATCTTCCTATAACCAAGGCTACCTGTGTCCTCAGAGTTACCAGTGCAAGGCTCTGACCTCAGACCACTAACAGGCAACAACCATGGAAGAGGCACAAGCTCAACAGAAAGCACAAGGGCCACAGCAAGTGATCAGATTCCACCACTCATCTTCGTGCTGCCTCCGTCCACCCTCCCACAGCCCCCTGCACCACGCACCTGCAGCAGAACGCTGCAGGCCGCAAGGCACTGGGGGCCGCAGAGCCCTGAGTCCCTAGAACAGGAACGGGGCTTGAAGAAGGTAGTGGGGTGCACTCAGCGAATGGATAAACTGAATCATCACTTCACAAAGCTGTGAGCCCTGCAAAAGACCTTGTGTTACTGCATTAAATAACTCACTCATGTCAAGAGAATCACTTGATTATCAGGTGTCAACAATTTCCACATCAGTTTGCAAAGCTGCACCATCTCTAAGGTTCTCCTAACTCAGAAATCCTAATGGAAAACCAGCAGAAGGCTACAGAAAACACCAACCACTAAAAGGGAAAAACCTTGTCACCAGCCAGTAGGGCCCCAGGGGCAGCCTGACCCAGTCCTGGGGTTACCTGGCTGCACCTGCAGGTATTCTGCAATGTCAGGCCTGGAGGGCAGGAGGCTGCTGTCACAGGGAGAGGCTGGGAATGTTGCCGAACACCTACTGGCCTAGGGCCACTTCCCCAAGACTGTGGGAGCAACAGCAGTGCCCAAGTTGCAAACGCCTAGCTTAAACTAAGGGTGATCAGTCACGAGGTGTTGAGCAAGCAGGCAGATCCAGAAAATTCTCTAGGAGCCTGTTGCCCACTGCTTCCTGTAATCAGAAAGACTGAGCACATCTTGACCTGATAAGCAGTCGCAAACATGGACCAAGGACAGTGTGTGCAATCACTCATCCAGAACTAAGTGTGGGTAGATGCGATAAGCTGAACTTCCTGAATATAAAGAAAAGAGAAGTCACATGAATGTGCTGAAAAAATCTGCAAACTTCACAACTGGTTAAGTATGGAGCAGCACTGGGCAAAGTGCAGGACGACCCTGAACAAACTGCAGGCCCCTCCTGTTCCAGCACCTGGAAGACTACGCCCAAGAACCATGGAGGCAAGCAGTGGAGACTACACCTGCCCAAACCCACAGAACCCACTGAAGAGAGTTCAGACCAAGAGATTCGGTCAAGGCTCCCAAGAGGAAAGGCACATTCACAATCTGAGAAGCCTGGGGCTTTTCAGAATCACAACTCGGGGGTCAGATCTCACACCCACCAGTGCCCCTGGTGCCACCCTCCAGACCTCCAAGGTACTCAGGGACCATGTGTGAAAGGGAGGCATCTAAACTCAGTCAGTACACAGCTCTTTTTTTGGCCTGGAGAATCTAGAAGGTGAACACAACTGGAGTAGGGCAATTTACTTTTATGAAAGGTTTGTTCTTTCTGCATAATCCCCAATTTCCTCCTACCTGCTAAAATTTCCAAACATCTGAGAACTCCCCTCCAGGCAGTGTGAGGGGTGGGCAGCACCGTTTCCTCAGCTCCCACACTGGTTGGGCCAAAACCCTGGTCTTTTCAAGGGGTGCAGTGAATTAAGAGCACAATTAACCATGTAATTTTCCCGCTGAACCCTGCTATTCAAAGAAGGCCACAAACCAACACTTTCAGCTAGAACACATGTGAAAACCGGTATTGTGGCAAGCTGTGTGATGCATGAGGCTGAGGCAGGAGTGAGGCTTTGTCTCAAAACACAGACAAAAACAACAAAAATGTGTTATCTAAGCACCAGACACAGCTCAAAACTCCCTTCTGGTTCTTGCTTAAGTCTGCCAAATGAGTACCCTATTAGTGTTCAAAATTTTCAAGGATTACATTCCCTATTATTTTAACCCCAGGAAAAATTCCAGACCAAATGATCAGAATATATGATAATCAAGGAAAAACAAACAAAAATTGTAAACACCTCAGTTCGCCACTAAAATGTATTATGCTGAAAGTCTGCTCTAGATGGCTTCCGGGTCACTATCTCACAGGGCCACAAACCACAAACTCCGCTTAACTCGTGCCCATCACTGCCCAGCACCAATCTGCACAGGCCAGGCAGCAAAACGAAGGCATGCTAGGTTCTTCCCTCACCTCCTTCCTATAGCTAAAAAAAGGAGAAAACAGGACTGTGTAATTTTTTTCTTAATAGGAAAGCCAGGAGGCAGTGATACAGTTATCACTCCTCCAGCCCTGCAAGACTAAGATAGTAGGTAACTGTATTTATTTATTTATTTTTTAAGGTAACTGTTTTTAAAACACCACTCTCACCTATCTAATAAGGTGGGATGCTGGGCACTCAGTCCTGACACTGACCAAGAAAACAAAAAGGAAAGACACTGTACCAGGAGGAAAAAACAAAACACAAATGACTTCCAAACTTTCTATCCAGTACAGTTTAGGGAGAATAAGTTTTCATGTTCTCATTTTGTTCAACCAAAAATACAATCTCCCAATTTTTTTTAATGGTAGCAAAGTTTATTAAAGGTACAAAAATTCTATTAAATGTAAGAATCAGGCTCTGTGAAATAAGTTGGGCCAAGCACAATTAGGAAAAGAAGCATGCCTCACAGCGTAGGTGGCTGCCCTGCAAGAGGGAACACAGTGGCCTCTCGATGTTTTTTTTTTGTTTTTTGAGACAGTCTTGCTCTGTGATTCAGGCTGGCCTCAAACTCATTCATGGCAATCCCATCTCAGTCTTCTGAGCGCTGGGGTTGCAGGCATACACCACCACATACAGCCAGATCAACTTTCAAAGGAATAAACATCTGATCAAAACCCTCCCAGTGCACAGCTTTTACTCCTTTCCTGGTGGCACAATCCATTGGCCTAGCGCACAGCTTTGGAATTTGCTTTCTAAATGATTGCTTCATACAAAGATACCTCTAAAGTCAGTTTTCAACATGATTCTGGATTCTTAAACTTGACAGCACCGTGTTTTCAGATTTCCTTTAAGGATGATTCTGTGTATAAGACTCTGGCTTCACAACCTGTGTGCAACGCTAAGCTAGTGGCTCAAATTCCAAGAAGCTGTAAAAATGAAGACACCCCCGTAACTTGACAACAGTAACCTTAGCTTATTGTACCAGTAATAAGCTCAAAATACAGGCTGCTTCTCTGGATATTACACAGAACTTAAAAATAAAGGCGAGAGCCCAGCATGGTGGCACACGCATTCGGGAGGCTGAGGCAGGATTGCCACGTGCTGGAGGGCAGCCTGGACTACACAAGGAAAGCCTACCTATCTCAAAATGCCAAATCGGCTAAAAAAAAAAATCACACAATTCCCACAAGGATACACTTAGTATTTTACTGAGTCGTAAGCAACACGCTACAGATGTGTAACTTGATGGAATTTCCCCAGCCCATGCTTGGGTCCAAAGCAGCCTTTTCCAAAGGATACCGAGAGAGCATTTAGAGACAACAAAATCATCGCCTATCTTGCATATTAAAATAGGGTTCAGGCTCATCTTCCAATTACCAGAGACCGAAAGAGGCTTCACTATGTAGTTTAGACTGGTTCTGAACTCATGACGATCCTCTGGTCTCACCCTACTGAGTGGCAGGACCAAGGCTATACACTACCACGCTCGACCCGAGCCTGGCCAGAGGTCTGCTGGGCATCAGGCTCGGGCGGGGACCACCGGAAGGTCCCGCGAGCCCGGCCCCTCCCCAGTGGGAAGATCGGGAGTCCCTGTCTGTCGCCGGAGTGGCACCCCGGGAGCAGGACGCGGAGTGGGCGCCCGGAGTCGCGGGGCCTGCCTTCCCTCACCTTGCCGCGGTCTTCCTCCGGCGGCTGCAGGGACTCGGGAACCGCGGCCATGGCGACACAGGCCTCGAGCAGAGGCCGCCTGGCTGTGCGAGGAAATGAGAGGCTGGGCCGCCGCCGCCCGAGAGCCTCCCGGGGGCGGCCGCGGCCCCGCCTCCGCCGGCCTCCCTGCCCGACGGCGGCTGGCTGCTTAGCGGTCAGCCACCGTCCCAGAAGCCCCGTGAACAGGCGAGCGACACGCCACGTGCTCCTCTAGAGCGGCCTCGCTCGTTCCCGCTGCCATCCATCTTGGAGCCGGGCAAAAAAGCAACGCAGGGCCTACCCTCGCTCCGCACCACGCGAGAAGCACCGACCGAAGGACCACGACGGGGAACTGCTACGACACTCACTGTAACGGCATGGGTGCCTCAAGGAAGAGAACGCGCTAGGGCGCGGTGGGAATTTATGGCTCAACCCGACTCCAATATGGCGATCAGGTGTGACGTACACAATCTCGCGAGAACTAAGGCGCGCGATTTGGAGGACCCGCGCCTCCGCTTCAGGGGCGGGATACCCACGGATCTCAAATACATGCAGACCTGGCGTAAGGGGGCGGGCGTAGCGCCTCAGTGCATGCTGGGGCCGTTTCCCTGCGGCGGGACCTGACGCCGGCGAGCTAAAGCGCGGGAATGATAAAAGTGCGGATTGCGGGGGCTCTTGGCAGTCCGCTGAGTTAAACCCAACGTAGTGACCTCCCAGGTAGTTCTGCCCCTGTGGTAACCATACAGTCTTGGTTCTTCCCAATTCCCAGCTCCCGCCAGAGGGAAACCGTTGGCGCGCTGACCCGGGCATGTCCGCACCTGCAAGGAATTGGGGACGCGGTTGTGGCCGCACCGAGACACCTTGATCCACGTCTGCAATGAGCTCACTAGCAGACCTGCCTCGAGGGCGTGAGGAGGGAATGAGGGTGCCCTTGCAGATGTGTCCCCGAGGACTCGGCGTCGGGGGCGTCGCTGTGCCGGGCCCGGCCTCCCTTTCCTTCGGATTGAAGATCGGAGCGCCTTGCCTGGCTCCCTCCCACCTGTTGTCATTGAATAAGTGGCGACCCTTCTGGAGTCACTTGGGAAGCAGCTTTCTCCCAGTGTACCCAGAAATTATCTTGGGTACAGTTCCGGTAGCAAGATTGTTCCAGTGCAGCTTCGGTGGCTCAAATACAGTGTGTCTGTACCTTACGCTGTTTTTCTCTTCATATTTTAATAGAAATCCAAACTAAAAGGCACGCGACGTTGCAAACAGACTAGAGAGGTGGAAGAGAGCTGAAGATGAAGGCATTTCAGACCATTTTCAGACAGCTCAGGAGTGTCGAGGGGTTTTCTATAGAACCAGCCCACCTTGCCGGTTTCTCCACTTCCTCCTATTCATGCGGCCCGAAGAAGAAAAAGCCTTACGAAGAAGTGGACCAGGCCAGATACTCTCGGTTAGTAAAATCCGTCTTGACCTCCCGAGGCCCGGTCCGGACTCCAGAATCGCTGCTGGAAGAAGATGCTTTACTCTACGGACCTGTGAGTAAGGCCAAACTCCCAGCGCAGGAGGAGACCCAAGCTCCCGGGAAATGGTTTCCCATCTTCAATCCAGAGCGAAACCAGAGTCCAAACACGAGGGAGCCTTCAGTGCCTTTGAAACTCCCTCTGCAGAGGAATGCCTTGCCCAGCGTGACCCGGATCCTGCAGCGGACGATGACTGCAGCCCAGATTTTCCACCTGGAGAGGTGGAGACAGCGAATGATTCTGCAGCTGGGAGAAGACGGCTTTACAGAATACACTTCAAGTAATTCTCTTAACTCTGGTTCTCTGGCCTCTGTACTTTGTAGAATATAGAGCATTAGTGACAAATGAGGCTCCTTAGAAAAGCTTTACTAGAAAGGAACTACACTACTTTCAAATAATTAGCATTAGCTAGTGCTTCTTGTGTATGAGCTCAGTTTGTAGGACAATCCCAGGAAGCATAGGTGTATTATCTTTATTTTACTGATGCAAATGAAGCAGGTCAAGGGATCCGACTAAATATGTAGAATGCATTTGTTTTGTAAACTACAAGCAATATCAGAGTTGCTTGTTTTTCTTGATGGAAGTCAGTTGCTTGCTGGCAGGGTTCTGGTTGTTTGGTAAGCATTCTGTTCAAAATAGAGGAAATGCCCACTTGCTAGTTCTACTTATCAATGTGAACTAATGGTGAGTTTAAAAATCTGGACACCAAGCAAGAACACCAGTGATGTGTTGCATCTTGGTCAGCTGGCCTAGTCAGGTGCTCTTGTTTAAGAACTGAGAGGTAGGGGCTGGGGATTTAGCTCAGCAGTATAAGCACCTGCCTTGCAAGCAGGCAGTCCTGAGTTCAATTCCCAGTACCGATAAAAAGGAAAAACACCAAAAAAAAAAAAAAAAAAAAAAGATATAAGAACTGAGAGGTAATAAACTTTAACCATTAAGTTCTACCCCAGACAAACAAGAAGAATAGCTTCCTTAAAGCATACTCCAGTCAGAACCAGGCTGTTGACCCAGGTCAATTAGCTGGTCCGTGGGGATAACGTAAGTGTCTCTGACACTTGCTTTCTCAAGAGCATTGCCCTGCTAGAACACAACCACTTTTGTTTTAAGAGGCATGTACGTGTACTTGTCTTCAGGCATGTTAGAAAAAACAGAGCACGATGGCACACCTGTGCAATTCTCCCAGCATTCTGGGAGGCTGAAGCAGGAGGATCACAAGTTTGATCCTAACCAAGAGATACAGCTGTTGCTCCATATAAAGCCCCAGATTCAACCCCCAATCCTGAAAAAAGAAAAGAAACAGTGTAAGTGTGTTAACCCATTGATTTGCTAACACACTATGTAGTCACTTACATTTCAAAGGAAATTAACTCTGGGTGGCACTAGGTTGTGGTCAAGGCCCTTGCCCCTTGAAACATTTCTGCGGTGAGGGTTGAGGACAGTTTTTGGGGGCTGCTGCTTAGTATGGTTAGTTGGTGATGACTGCCAAACTGTTTTGCTCTCTGAGCACGTAGCATACAAATCTGTTAGTGGCATCATCAGTTCAGTTCTTTATTTGTGCCACTAAAATTTAGAATTGATGCTTTCCTCACAAGGAGTTCGTTTTCCTTAGGCCAGGACTATAGCGGCTTTCCAGAACCCTGAAATGACTGATAAGGAGCTAGAGGTAAAAACCTCCTAGTCATAGGAAGTCCAGAGTCTGTAGCTCTGGGCAGAGTAAGGCAGGTGGCTGAGCCCTTGACACTGGAGGGGATGCTGAGTGTGGTGGCACACACCCGTTATCTCCGCACTCAGGAGGCTGAGGTAGGAGGATCACTGTAGGTTTGAGGTCAGCCTGGCTATGTAGTTCAGAGCCAACGTGCACTACATAACAAGACCCAAAACCAAAAAAGTAAAAGGCACAGGAGGGGAGTTTCAGTTTGGAATGTGGATGGGACCCTGTAGGGACTTTCCTGTGGTTAGCTTTGTTAGCACCCTGCTGTGAGTCTCTTGAGCTCCCTGTAAACCTGAAGCAGGAGCAAGTTACCTGTTTCACAGGGGGAACCATGCATAGATCAGGCGCAGGACAGAGGGTGGGAGGAAGGAGAAAGGGGTGGCACCAGGTGCCACGGGGGAGGGGGCGGGAGCAGTGACGGCTCCGAGTGGCATAAGTATTGATCATGGTGGAAAGGGCTGAAATTTGTTTTTTAATTTTTATTTTTCAGTGTTTATTTTTTAAAATCAGTCACCATGCCAGGCATAATAGTGCACACCTGTCACCCCTCCAGGCAGGCTGGCCTTGGCTCCATGGTGAGCTCCGGTCTCTAACCCCCACCGCACACACAGTGCCAGCCAGGCCTCTTGCCAATTCAGCATCAAGATGTGGAGGGAGCATGATTTTTTTTAAACGCAGTCGCATTGAGAATTGAAAACATCTCATTTCTTTTAATTTTTTGGCTGAGTACTCTAACCTGATCCTATTTGTAATAAGTCTTCTTGGGTCATGTTTTATTTTCATAAATGAAAGCATATTTAATATCCTGAGCCTAAAACCTAGATTCCTGTGTTTGCAGCCACTATGTGAAGCATGTGGCCAGGGTCAGATGGGCTTGGGAATGAATCATCTCTGCCAGGCTGGTTGTTTTTTGGGGGTGTGGTACCAAGTGCTGGCACTGAGAAGCCCCAGCTGTTCCCATTTCCAGCAGGTTTGGTTCATCTTTGGGGTCACTGAGCCGATAGATGCATGCTCCAGTTTTCTTTAGATGTTAATTCTGTGAGTCGTAAGCTTCCTCGGGCCTTTCATGTAGCATCCTTTCACGGAGCCAAGTGTGGAGCAGAATTTAGCTCCAATAGAGCTTGGTTTCCCCAGAGCGGTTCCGTGTTTTTGCAGGCTGTGGAACTGACTTCTCAGAGCCCATGGACTGCTCCTTGCAGGTGGGATGTGGCCCTTGGGTTTCCCCCCTGGGCGAGACTGCTGCCCTCTTCTCCACTGCCATCCCCCGTCACCCACGTGTGTCCTGATCTGCTTCCCTGGGGAGCTTGAGTTGAACACTCGCTGCGGAGGCTGGGGTGCCAGTACAGCTTTTGCTTCGAGCATATTGACAGCAGCAGCAGGGCCACCAGGGCTTTGTTCCTAGGGGTTTGATCCTTGCTTGAAAGTGAACACTCCAGAAGCATTGCGGCCCTGCATAGGTCCCCTTCCCTTCTTTCTGTGGCTCTTCTCCTTACCACCAGGCCAGTGACTACACAGTACTTCTTGCACTTAGTAAGCCTGTTTGTGTCTCTTAGCCTGGAAACCTGAGGAGAATTAACCAGGGTGCAGCAGCTGCCTCAGATTTTACCAGGACACTGCGTCCCCTCTCCTTCCAGATCCCCCACAGCTCCTCATTTTTATGTATGTGTGACTTGATTTTTTTTTTTTTTTTGGTACCAGGAACTGAACTCATGACTTCCTGCTTGCCAGGCAGGCATTTGTGCCCCCCTCCCCATGACTTGATTTTTACATCTCACGGTCACTAATCCTATTAACTGAAGGATTCCATCGATTAATTACATTCATATGTAAAAAGAACTAGAGAGAGGCAAACCTAAATCTCTAATGATTATTTCAGAAAGCTATTTAACCTATGAAATTAGATGTTCACAGATAATGGATGCACTCCTCTCATTCCTCGATCTGCAGTTTAGGTTGGGCCTAATTCCATGAGAAATAACTTTCTTTTAATGTGTTTCATTTGTAAACTACTCTGATTCCTTTGGTTTTTGAAAATGCATTCTTAGTTTTCATAAGCTAAAATTTGATGTTTCAAGGCTTGCCGTTTAAAAGGTAAGTTTCTGTGACTTTTTTTTTTGTCTTTTGTCTTTTTATCGGTACCGGGGATCGAACTCACAACTGCCTGCTTGCAAGGCAGGCGCTTATGCCACTGAGCTAAATCCCCAGCCCCCCTATGTCTTTTTTTAAACTTAGTATCAGAGATTTTTCTGAGCATTAGGATTTTAGCACAAATTTTTGTTTTCCTTTTCTGGTTTTCTTTCTAGACCTCTTTCAACAAGGGAGACGCTTCCATGAGGCCGTGGAAAGCCTACTCTCCGGCCGGGGGAGCGGAAACAAGGGGGATGAAAGTCTGCTGGGCTGCGGCTACGTCAGGAGTGTGCAGCACCTCCTCAAAGATGTGTGCGGCGTGCGAGCTCTGGAGAGCGCCGTGCAGCACCATGCCCTGAACTACGCGGGGCTGCTGGACTGCGTTGCTGAGTACCGGTGAGTGGCAGGGAGCCATTCTCTGGCAAGAGAGATTCTTTTCCTCTCGATCCAGGTACTATACATAGCCTCTGCCTCTTGAAAGTCAGACAAGGCTGGATATAGAGGTGGCACACACCAGAATTCCAGCATTCTGTGAGGCTGAGGCAGGAAGGTGGCAAGTTTGAGCCCAGACTGGACAAGTAAATAACACAGCACGACTCTGGCTCAAAATGTAAAAAATAAGTTTAACCTATACCTACATGAGAAGTGGAAGACTGAGTGTTGGGCAGGAGGGCAGATGCAGTATTTAGAGCCATATTGTCCTGGTCAGTCAGCGTTCCACATCTGCATGGGTTCCACTGTCCCTGGATTGGCCTGGTTTCCAGCTGATCTCCTTCCCCCAAAGTTAGATATCAGCTCTAAGCGCCAGTTAGAGTCCAGCATTGTTTCCTGCTTCTCAGAATTCTATTTTTGTTTATCTTTTTCCCTAATTTTTCTTTTTCTTTTTTTTTTTTCCTTATTTTTTGGTACCCGTAATTGAACTCAGGACCTTTTGTTTGCCAGGCATGCACTGTGCCACCGAGGTCTATTTTTGGCCCTCTTTCTGTGTCTTGTTTTCCTGAGACTATACCATGATCCTTTGGCCCTGAAAGTTGCCTCGTCCTGGCTTCCAGGCAGCTGCTGTGGGATAGGAGTTCAGCCTCTCTGCTGCCGGCTGCATTTTGTTTTGTTTTGTTTTTTTCGAGGCACGGTCTCTCTGTGTAGTTCAGACTGGCCCTGGACTCAATGTGTGGCTTAGGCTGGCCTGGAACTCCTGGCAATCCTCCTGCCCCAGCCTCCTGAGTGTTGGGATTACAGGCTCGAGCCACCGTGGCCAACCTTGCTGCTCCTTTTAGACTGTTGCCATATTATCACCAGATTCCCAGGGAGACCAACCAGCAGGGACCTCTTCCCACACAGCACAGAGAGCCCTGACAGGCTAGGGCAACACACCCGTGTCCACCTGGTGCTTTGTTAAACTCAGTGGCAGGGATGCACCCAGCCATGCGTAGGCCCTCAGGTTCCATCTCTAGCACCATAGAAACCAAGGGCAGCAGACTGGGGTCTAGAACTGTGGTGCACGTGACAGTTGTGTGGCGTTGCAACCTGGTCTCTGAGAAGAGTCCCACATGTCCAGAAATATGACAGCTATTTCTGGCTCCCTGTAGACTCCCGAGAGAGGCCCAGTCAGTCCCTTCCACCTGCAGCCTATAGGGTGTCCCCAACATCAGATGCTTTGCACACAGGTTATAAAACTTGCCCACAGCACTGCTGTCTGGTTTCTGTTCTTTGAGCCAGAGCAGCACGTATACCTGTAGTTCTAGCACTCTGGAAGGCTAACGCAGGAGGATCACCAGTTCAAGCCCATCCTGGACAACTTGGTGATTTAGTGAGACCCTGTCTCATAAAGTGAAAAATGGGCTGTGGATGTCACGCTGTGAAGGCCCTAGGTTCAATCCCCAGTACCAGAAGTTTTTTTGAAAAAGAGGGTGGGGACAGAAAGCAGAGACTGGAAGCCACATTGTGGGGTGTGGGCGGGGACCGCATGAGACTGGAAGATTCTGGCCTGAGCCCACCTCAAGGTCCCTCTCTCTTCTCTCGTCTCCCACAGGGGCGAGCTGTGCGTCATTGACTGGAAGACATCCGAGAAGCCAAAACCCTCCCTACGGGACACCTACGACAACCCGCTGCAGGTGGCGGCCTACGTGGGTGCCCTGAACTATGACGCCAACTACAGCTTTCAGGTGAGGCTGCGCTCGGCCACGTGGCCCTCAATGCCAGGCTGTAGCCTCTGGCCCAGGAAGCGCCATTTCTTTCTCCCAGGCTCCTCTCCTGCTCCTCTTGCTCGTGGCCCACACTTCAGTGTCCCGCCTATCATCTGGGTGTCCCGAGTCTTGGGTGTGGTCTTTATTTCGTTATGGCTTTTTGCGTAGGATCTCTGTATGGAGCTCAGACTGGTCTGGGGCTCCCCCTAGTAGCCCAGGCTGGCCTTGAACTCGGTGATCCCCCTACGTCAGCCACCTGAGTGGGATCATAGACACACACTATGATGCTCAGAACCGTGTGCAGTCTTTAGCCAGCACCTCGGGGGTAGCTGTTCCTGTCGTTAGGAGACACTCGTGGAGGTGGCGTGGTCCTGAAGTCACAGACCTCAGCTCTCAGCTAATGGGATCCTTGCTACTGCCCGTCTCTGCACAGGTGCAGTGTGGCCTGATTGCCGTGGCCTACAAGGATGGTTCCCCTGCGCACGCCCACTTCCTGGACCCGGAGCTCTGCTCCCACTACTGGGCCAAGTGGCTGCTGCGCCTGGAGGAATACTCGAAGAAAGACAAGAGCCCAGCTGGCCAGGAGCTGGGTGCAGGTGCAGATCTCCCTGCAGGGACCAACGGGTCACCACCTCCCGCCTGCTGAAAGCTGAGCGGCCACATCAGCAGAAGCAGGAGGTTCCTTTGTTGAACTGTGCTACTGCCGACAAGACTAGGAGAGGCCAGATGCGTCCAGATTTCAGGAGCTGGACATCAGCCTGGATACCAGTGCTGCCACCCTCACGACTCTTGACCCGATGGAGGGTAGGCAGCAGGCGCAGGTGCCTCCCAGGACCCCTCAGGACTTCTCTGCCTTTATCACAGTGCCCAAAGTTCAAGAGAAGATGGGAGGGCTGAGGGCCACACTAGCCAGCCACCACCCCATGCCTCCCTACAGCGTGTCATATAGACCCCTGTGTTTCTGTTAGGGAAATAAGCTCTTCTTTGTTTTGCTTTGCTTTGTTTTTTGAGGCAGAGTCTGGCTGTGTAATTCAAGCTGGACCTGAACGAACTCTACAGCCCAGGCTGGCCTCAAACCCCCTCGGTGATACTCCTGCCTCAGCCTTCCGAGTGCTGAGCTGTGTTCCTGTGTCTGCCCTGGGAGAAGCGCTGCTATCCAGTTCGGGCACTGGCAGTGTCCCATGGCACAGCCGTGCCCCTGGCATGGAGATGCTCACCATGTGGGTTCAGTGGCTGTTTCTGAACAGAGCAGGAAACTTACTGTTTGGGGGAGTCTTCAGCTGTGGGAACACTAATAAAGCCAGTCTTGTTTCCGAGTCTGCTAGGCATTAATTACAAGCTGCCCCGTGCTTGAGAAGGTTCTAAGTGCTGCAGCGGCCCACGTCCACCATGTGAGAGCTGTCAGTCACTGCCTCCCAGCCATTTATAAAAAGGCCAGGCGTGGTGGCATACCTGTCATACTAGCACTTGGGAGGCTTGGGCAGGAGGATCACTGGGTTCAAAGCAAGCCTGGGCTACACAGTTCAGGACCAGCCTAAACTTTATAGCAAGACCCTAACTGAGAAAAAAAAGAAATTTTAGTTATGGGGAGCTGTGTGGAGGCTCCCCCATGCCCTTGTAGATGTGGCTTGGAGTCTGGTTGATTTTGGTACTGGGAACCAAACTCGGGGGCCTTACACTTGCCAGGCAGAGTCTGCTCCACTGAGCTACATCCCCAGCCTACGAGTCTGGTTTTAAGGCAGACTACTGGCTCCCAAATCTGTGACTCCCAATGTCCACACACTTCACTTTTGGTGGTGGTGGTGGTGGCTACACAGTAAGACTTGGTCTCACTGTGTAGCCCTGGCTGGCTTTGAAGTGGGTAATCCTCCTGCCTCTCAGCCTCCCAAGTGCTAGATGACAGGCATGTGCCACCACGCCCTGTTACTTCTGTTCATTTTTACTGATTCCTAACAAAGACTGATGCCTTTTCCCCCCTTAAGATCTGGTCTCTCCTCCAAGCCCTTGGCTGTGAGGACCTGAAAACCTGAGCCCTGGAAAGGTGGCTGGGCTCAGGGGGGCTGGCGCTGTGTTGACAGGGAAACCTGCACCTGTGGCCCTGAGAAACATGGGTTCCTGTTTAACTTGTGAGCATTCAGCCAAGGAAGGAGACATCTGGTCATAACCTACACTGGTCAGGTGGGCAAAGCGGGGCAGAGGGAACTGGGAGTGTTACAGACACCAGTTTCAAGCTGACCCCAGAGAAGAACACTTATTGGCTGATCAGTTGCTAAGTAAAACAGAACCAACTCTTCTTCAACCCCAGAGGCCTGACGTCAAGCAGAAATGTGTTGCTGCTGCTGGACTCCAATCTGCTAAGCCTAGAGAGTTAGACCATTGAGCTGAGTGTGGTGGTGCACGCCTGTCATCCTAGCACTCGGGAAGCTGAGGGAGGAGGCTCACTAAGTTTAAGGCTACATTGTGAGACCCTTTCTCAAAAAACTAAAAGTTTAATGGAAAACATATAAAGAACTCAAGGGGAAAAAAAAAAATCAATCCTCCCAGATTTTAAAATCCAATCCAAAGATGAGCATCTATGATGAATACACACTTCTCAGATAAATACCAGCAGCAAATAAATGCGAAAAAACGTTCAACATCACCGGCCATTCAAGAGAACACTGAGATTTTCTCTCACCCCAGAAAGAATGGCAACTATCAAGAAATCAGTAACAAGTGCTGAAGGCGCTGTGGGGAAAAAGGAACCCTTTTTCACTGCTGGTGGAAATACAGACTGTACAATCACTGTGGAAATCAGTGTGGAGGTTCCTCAACAAACTAGGTTTGGAGGTCCCATTTAACCCAGCTATTCCCCTTCTGGGTATCTTCCTAGAAAAAAAACATCATACCACAGTAATATATGTGCACATATGTTTATAGCAGCAGAATTTGTAATAGCTGGATCTTGAAAATGCCCACTGACTGAGGAATGGATAAAAAGTTGTAATACTTTTTTTTCTTTTGTCTTTTTCCTTTTCATTCGTACCTGGGATCGAACTCACGACTGCCTGCTTGCAAGGCAGACACTTATGCCGCTGAGCTAAATCCTCAGCCCCAAGTTGTAATATTTTATGTAATGGAATGTTACATAGCCATAAAGAATGATAAATGGGATTTACAGGTAAATGGATGCACCTTGAGATCATACTCATTAGCAAACTATGTAAACATTGTCTCAGTATGAGAAGCTGAAAGTAACAACATGTCTATGTATATAAAAAAGTTAAGATACATTACCGATTTTTCTGAGTTCACTGAAGAAAAGCATGTGTGCCACTGTTGTTCAGACAATTGGATGCAGATGTCTTTTGCCCTGGATGAATGATTTGGGGATGACAGTGTACAGTGTATGTACCACTGTTGCACCCTGACTGATATGCTTTGAAATTTTATTGTTTTTTTCTTTTATCTTTGAATAAAATATATTTGAAAAAAATAAGATAGTCATACCACTGATTTCCGAGTTCACTGAAGAGGAGTTGTGCTGATATTGGTCGGACAATTGTAAGCAAATGTCTGTGCTGTGAGTGAATTTTTTGGGGATGACAATGTGCAATATATGCACTGTTGTTGCCTTTGATTGATGTGGTTTGAAATTTTTAGTTGTTTTGTTTTTTCTGATACCAAGGATCGAACTCAACCTTGTACTTACCAGGCAAGTGCTTTTTGCCAATGAGCTATATCCCCGGTCTGTTGTATTTTTTCTTCTTTTCCTTGAAATAAAATGGATTTGAAAAATTAAATAGTAAGTTTATTTTGAGACAATCTGTCATTGAGTTCCCAAGGGTGAGGGCCAAGATCCTCCTGCCTCAGCCTCTGGAATGGCTGGGTGTCAGGCTTGCTCCCTGCCTTTCCCTATCCCCTGGTGGAACATCAGGTCCAGCATGCTTTGATGCTGTGGGTCATGCTGTGGTGGATGCCTGTCCTGCGTCTCTACTGGTGCCAGGGGGCAGAACCGAATAGGACACAGGTGTGGGTGGGGACCCTGGCGGCTCACCTGGCCTGGCCTCTGTCCTGCATTCTCACACTGCGCGAGACAGAGGCACTTAGGGCTGAAGGACCAAATACAGTAAGAGCTGGGGTCAGCACCTGCCACTCTGTCATACACTGACCTCAGTCATGGCCAGAACTGAAGCCGGGCTGGGGGCGCACACGTCACCCCAGCACGGAGGCTGAGGCAGGAGTGTCACCACATTTGAGGCCAGCCTGGCTACCTGGGGAGAGCTAGGTATTTATTTATTGAGACTTCTTAGAAAAAAAATGACCAGACACGGCACTGGGTCCCAGCATGAACGTGATAGCCAGATTCCCCTCTCCTGGCCGATGATGACTTGTAACTCACCTTCCCACCGCATGCCCACCACACCGCTGCCTCGTGGTGACCGTGGTGACCGCAGAGAGCCCAGCCTGGGAGCCACTGGGAGCCCCTGGAGCTGCGTTCTGCTCCGGGATGGGCTGCCGCCTGGTGGCGGTAAAAGCGCACTGCAGCGCGGGCTGAGCCGGAACGCCCGGTGCACGCCCTCCTACCGGCCCGGGCGGGCCCTGTCCACAGCGACAGAGGACGCGCTGTGGGCTGTGCAGAGCCCTGGAGCCTGCACACGCGTCTGCATCTGCGTTGCTGATCTCGAGAGAGGCTGGACGCGAGACGCACGCCTGTCATCCCAGCGCCAGGTCACCTCCCACTGTAGTCCTGCACGTCCGAACAGCGCCTCCTGCCCCCCACACTGGGGGCTCGCCCCACATCCTTCCTGCATCCAGCAGCCCTGTTCCTGCAGCCAGCTGGCATCTCCAAGATTTGCAAGCTTCACTGGCAATTGGGAAGCCAGACTGACTCCCTCACCCTCCACAGAAAAGCGGTGGAGCATCCCACCAGCCTGCACCCCTCTGCACCCCAAAATCTTGCCTTGACTACTGTGCAGTGGAGAGGGAACACTGGGACAGAGCCCCACTGAGGCATGTGAAGGTCTTGTGTGCCGGGGTCTCAGCCCTTTGCACAGGTGCGTTTAGTTTTCTTTTTCGTGTGTGTGGGGTGGAGGGATTGGGAGGTTTTTTGAGACAAAGTCTAGCTATGAAGTTCAGACTGACCTCTGAACTCAGTGTAGTCCAGGCTGGCCTCAAATTTGAGATCGTTCTGTCTCAGCTTCTCTCAGGTTAGGCTCACAGGTGTGTACCACCATGCCAGGCTTGGACAACTTTTAACCAGCCGAGATTGGGGAAACAGCCCTTCAGGCGCAGGCCGGGCAGTGCTCCATGGTCACCCTGTGGTGCCCACTCACCCAACTGCACCTTGTGGCCTCTTTCCCAGCCCCTCAGCCTCACGGCCTCAGCCCCATTCCTGGGCCTCTCACAGAGCCCAGGCCAGCATGTCACTCTGTCGGTCAGCTGGACACCGGGATGTGCCCCGGAGGCAGAAGCCATGGGCCGCTGTCCCCACGCGCACACCCAGACCATGCCGGAGACACAAGCAGCCGACGGTTCCAGCCCGGGAGGAAGCGGGCTCAGCTGTGCCCATCCTATTTGTCATTCCAGCCATCTGCTGTCCTCGAGCAGCTCACCCACGACAGCTAAAACAGTGCACTGGGCCCGGAACCTGCTGGGAAATGTCAGCCCCACGGGAGGGAGGGTCCCGAAATAGCAACTAGGGGCCAGGCGGCAGCGGCACAGATCAGCCCGGGGGACAGGGCCCGGGGGACGGGCACCTCTGGGGCTCCCTGCACTCCTCCTTGGTGCCTGGCCATCCGAGCCCTGTGGGAACCAGCCTTTGCACCAACAAGAATGGAGAAACTGGGTGTGGTGTGCACTCAGCACTCAGGAGGCTGAAGCAGGGGGATCTCTGAGTTCAAGGCCAGCCTGGACTATGCAGCAAGATGCAGTCTCAGCAAAGGAGAGCCCATGCTGAGCTGTGCCAGGTGAGACCATGAAGCACACAGCAAGGAAAGCTGCCTTCAGCCAGGCAGAAGCAACACAAGAGCGCTGCGCTCTCAGCTGCACTGCCGTCACCCTGCCTAGCTCTCTGTCCTAGGCTTGGGGTAGTGCCCTAACCCTAACCCTATCCCTAACCCAGCAGACTGAACCCAGACCCTTTGTGCTGAGCTGCACCCACTATATCCTATATTTTATTTTTATTTGGAGACAGGGCCTCACCAAGTTGCTAAGGTGCCCAGGCTGGCTCAACCTTGTGATCCTCCTTGCCACAGCCTCCAAGGGCTGGAATGATAGGTGTGCACCACCACACAGGGTCAGATCCTCTGTGGCAGTGATGCAGGCTGGATGCCATATTCAACCTGCCCTTCCCTCTCTCCATGTCTACCCTCTAGCACACCTTGGGTCCCCATGACCGTGACTGGGTGATGAGACTGGTGGCTGCCACCCCACCTCCTGCTGCCAGTGGCTCCAGCAAAGCCTCAGGTGGTGCCAAGCTCCTCTGTGTCCCCTGCAGCCAGGATGACCCCGTTCCTCATTGCAGAAGCCAGGACCATCACAGATGGACAAGCAGACGTGGGTCTGCACCAGCCCACACCAAACCTGCAGCCAGCCTGGCTCTATTTTAAACCCACCCAGCACAGCCACTGCTCTCTGCCTCCTCCGCACTGACATGGCCAGGAATCCTCACGCCCTGCTTTTTTATTGGTCTCCCTGCTCCTGCCACCGCCTCACTCACCCAGTTCTGCACTCTCAGCCCCGAGTACACATCACCCAGAGCAGGTTGGTCCTCTGCTCAGTGCTCGGCCTGGAATCCCAGCTAGAAGAGGCTAAGGCAGAGGGTTATAAGTTCCAGGCCAGAGCAACTTGAAATATTTTTAAAGGGCTAGAGATAGACCTTAGTGATACAGCCTTTCCCTAGCATACCTGAGGCCCAGGTTCAGTCCACAGTGCTGAAAAAACAAAACAAAACCCTGTCTGTGGGGCTGGGGATTTAGCTCAGCGGCATAAGCACCTGCCTTGCAAGCAGGCAGTCATGAGTTTGATCCCCGGTACCGATAAAAATGAAAAAAAAAAAAAAACAACCCTCTCTGTAGCATCTGCTGTAGACAGTTTCTGCTAGGTTTGTTTGTTTGTTGAAACAAGGTCCCACTATGCAGTTCAGGCTGGCCTTACACTCACTATGTAGCCCAGGCTGGCCTTGAACTCCCGGCCATCCTCCTGCCTCAGCCTCCTGAGTGCTGGGATTACAGACATTCACCACCCCAACCAGCTTCAGTGAGTTGTACATTTATCTACTTGTTTATTGTCTGCCCCTCCCTAAGAGGCTGTGGTCGTTACAGCAGGGCCTGGGGACTCTTTTTGTTCCCTTAATGTCTAGAAGGGCCCCTGGTCAGCCACAGGCACTAGAGAAGTGTGTTGTGGTACAGGAAAAACCCTCCTAACTCCAGCTCGCAGCACCCTCCCCAAGGCCTGTGGCTCTTCCCTGACAGTAGCTGGTGTCCTCGGTGTCTTAGACCCTCACCCTGGGAAGTGGCCTGCAGATCATGTCTGGAGTGGATCAAGATCAGAAGTCCTCGTGGAGTCCTGGAAAGTGGGCAGGAGGCAGCCAGGGAAAAGACCACGGAACAACCAAGCTTCCCCTGGGCCAAGAAAGAAGCCAAAGCTAAGCGACATCCGGGAGGACAGCCAGCAACGTAAATGGCATCTGATGCTGTGTTCATGCAGATGAGCTCGCACTCCAGGAAATCAGGGCGTGCAGAGGTCAGGCAGGGCCGGGGTAAAGCAGACACAGTGCTGTTCCCAGCCACCATGGCCACCAGCCCCATCCACCCCGGAAGACGAAGGCAGCCGAACTGCTGGAGGCCGCTTCCCTATCAGATTGGCTGGGGACCAAACAACACGGCGTGGGCCCAGACACGGGCCCTGCAGCCACCCGCCACAAGTTGGCAGGGTCCCCGTGGAAGACAACTATGCCAGGGCTCGATCACCAGGCTGACTCTACTCCAGAAGGCGGCAGAGGGGCTGGCAGGCAGCTCTGCGTGGCACTCACAGCCGTGGCTGGGCTCCAGAACCACAGACCAAAGGTTTTTTAACTGAAAAAAGAAGTTGGAAAAAAAGACCAATGCTGGGCGTACCTAGTGACGGAAGCCTGTGATCCTGGCACTCTGAAGGCTGAGGCAGGAAACTCACCAGGAGTGTGAAGCTGGCTTGGGCTGTGTAATGAGTTCCAGGCCAGCCTGAAATACACATCGATATCCTGTCTCAAGCTGCCACCCCTCAAAAGAAACACAAAGAGATATAGAACTGCTCTGGAATGAACTACTTGATGTATTATTAAAAGAAAAGTGCCAAGTACCACATAGTGTGCATAATATACCCTCTGCTAATTCATACTGGAAGGCAACAGTGACAGGAGAGAATATACAGCTCACAGCTTGCTGCTGTATGGGTAAGGTTAGAGAGCTGGTGACAGTGGCTGAGGACCACAGAGACTGCAGGTGAGGGACCAGTTCAGAGTGACTTTTCTTTACAGAAGTTATTACATAAGTACTTACACAATTTTCTCCCCATTAGGAGGCTGAGGCAGGAGGATCCTCATGAACTCAAGGCCAGCCTGGGCTGCACACCAAGTTCAAGGCCAGCCTGAATGTCACTGGGAAATGCTGCCTTAGAAAACCAAAGAAGGCACCAGGATATAGCTCAGTGACAGAAGCGCCTGTCTTGCAAGCACAATGTCCTGAGTTTGATTCCTGGTACCGAAAAAAAGGAAAAAAAACCCCGAAATTTCCTTCCCAAACACTACAAAATCTGTGAGACTGATTGACTCAGCTGCAAAGCTGACCTGGGAGAGGCTGCAGGGCCAAGACCTCAGTGTTTCCATCCTCGGAAGCCCAGGTGACTTCTCTCCCACCTGGTGGCCTGCAGGCTTGGAACCTGGCTCCTGCAGAGCTCAATGCTGTGCGCTAGGCATCAGTCACTTCTTTCCAGGCCTCTTGCTCAAGCTGGAGGTCATGCTCCAGGATGAGGCTGCAGCTAGATTTCAGTGGATCTCAAATCTCTTTTTTTCTTATTTTTGAGACAAGGATTTGCCATGCAGCCCAGATGGCCCTCAAATCCAGATTCTCATGCCTCGGCCTCCCAAAAAGTAATTTTGAACTGGGTTTCTATCATTTACTACCCAGAGTGCTTCGTCAGCACTCTGAAATGGGCCACAGGCCACCTGGTTAACTACAAGGATGCCCTGCCTGGCTCATGCTGGGATCTGCAGTCCCCAGACCCCGCCCCTTTTGGCCTTGCTCTGTGGCCACAGCTGGGAGACACAGGTGTTGGCTGCATGTCCTCTGGGGTCACAGCTATTCCTGTCACTGGCTCTGTCCCTGGAGGCTGCCCCCAGGGCCACCCAGAACCCATATCCAGCCCTGCCCCACCAACAGCACCTGAATGTGGCCGTGCAGACCACAACACATGCCCAGGACTCCAGGTGAGGTGGCTCAGACAGAGTCACCAGGAGCTGGGGGGGCGGGGGAGTCCCCAAAGCCATCTGGGTCCTGTAGTTGAACCTGAAGACTTCTTCTGTTCTGTTTTGTTTCTTTGAGTCGGGGTCTTGTTTCTTTGAGTCGGGGTCTTGTTTCTTTGAGTCGGGGTCTTGCTATGTAATCCAGGCAAACCCAAAATTCAGTAAGATCCTCCTAACTCGGCCTTCCGAGTGCTGGGCTCCTTTCTGTGTAAGGGAGGCCAGGGAAAGGGCAGCAGAGGGCTCTTACCTGACAGCCCTGCAGTGACTCAACCACCTACACATCAAAGAGGCCTCACCAAAGGCTGCTTCCTTCCTCCCGCTCAGGAGGGAAATGGGGGCTCAAGCTGACAACACCCAGATATCAGCAGAGAGCCAGGCCCAGAGCAGCAGAGGGGGACACAGGGACAGCGATAGGAGAGGAGGGGACAGAATGCCCAGGAGGGGATGGAGCGCCCGGGCTGGCTGGGCAGGCATCTCCCACTGCACACTCCAGGCACAAGGACCCAGTGAGGCCTCGGGAATTGCCAGTGGTCTGTCTGCCCCCAGCGTGACATCACAGCCGGCTCCAAGTGCTGGCTGCCCCAGTCCAGTGTGGCGGTACACACCTGGGTTCCTAGCACTTGGGAGGCTGAGGCAGGATTGCCACAAGACCCAGGGGCTGCATAGTGAGTTCAAGGCCAGCTTGAACTGCAAAGCTAGACCCTGTCTTAACACCACCCCAGTGAAAATGACACCTGCCAGCCAGACGGCCAGAGGCTCACCCTATAATCCAACCCCAGAGGCTTAGGCAAGATGGCCAGGAGTTCAAGGCCAGCCTGAGCCACACAGAGAAACCCAGTCTCAGAAAAATAAAAAGATTTGCTCTCCAGCCCCTCCCACCGATGTAAAACCACCAACTCCTCCAAATCACCAGCCTCCTGCAGCAGAGCTAGAACTCAACTGCCAATTTTGTTTTTGAAAGTTTCACACGAACATTTCATTTATTAAAATAATTTCTGTAAACTCTCAAAATAATAAAATTCACTTTCCAGTCTTGAGAAGTATTTCAAGGCACCATAAAACTATGGTCTCTCTAAGTGCAGCCCTTCCTCCACATTCGAAAATCCTATTAAGATCTTGTGGGGGACCCAGCATTGGCAGCACAGAAAAAGGACCTGGCCAAGGGGGACAGAGCTCGATGTCACACAGGAGATGGTCACCTAGGAAGGGATATGCTGCCATCCTGAGTAGACAAAGACAAACCTGACCCTTGTGACAAAGAAGGGCAAGTGAGCGCCAGCAATGGTGAATACACCTGTGACTTCAGCATTCAGAGAGGCTGAGGCAGGAGGGTTCCAAGTTGGAGCTCAGCCCAAGCCATTTACTGAGAGCCTGTCTCAAAATAAAAAACCAAAGGCTGAGAACGTAGCTCCGTGCAAAGGCCCCGGGTTCAACACCCAGGACAGGGAAAGGATACAGGCAGCGGCTGAGGGCGGGGCCCTCACTCATGGGCCTCCTCCTCACTTGGGCTGGTACCCCCGGGGTGCCCAGCTGCCAGCTTGCTCTGCAGCAGTGCCGCCAGCTTCTTGGAAGTCTTTTGCAGTAGGGCACTGCCTGGGTGTGCATGGTGTACGTGCAGGTATAGGTCCTCCTGCGAGGGCCCCGTGTGGCCGCAGTCCTCACACACGTACAGCTTGTCTCGCCGCTGCTTGTAGGCATACTGCTGGTGCACACCATGGATCTTCTTCAGGTGGGACTCTAGTGAGCAGCGCTGTGTGAAGGCCTTGTGGCACACGTCACACTTGTAGGGCCGGATGCCTGCAGGAATCAGTGACAGGTGTGTCACTGCCGGGTCACCAGCTCCCGGCTGGCCACCTCGCCAGCAAAGATCACCGTGAATGGGGACGGGCAGGACGTGGGGACTGTCTAGAGGGCAACGTCCCTGAGGCCCCACCCACAAGAGGGAGACCTTGTCTACCCTACTTCATGGGCCTTTGTGTTCTCAGCCAAGCATGGCAAAGGAAACTGGAGCCCACACCTGCCACCCGGTGTCCAGGAGGCTAAGGCAGGAGAGTCCAAAGTTGGGCCCGGCCTGGCAACTTATTGTGTCTCAGACAGATTCTGTCTCAAAATAAATAACAAATAAAAAGTGGGTGAGGATGGGGCTCAGTGCAAAGGCCCTGGATTCAGCACCCAGCACTGAGGAGCAGAGAGGCAGGCAGAGACAGAGACAGAGACTCACAGCCCCAAAGCAACCCCAACTGCAGCATAAGGACAAGGACAAGATGCAATCCAGGGCAGCAGAGGAGGTCGCCGTGAGTTGGAGGCCAGCCTGGGCTGCAGAGCTCGGCCTTGACCCCTCCTGTACAGAACCCCGAGGACAGTGCCACAGATCCCGAAGCACCAGGCCCGGCACCCTCCACGGGGCCAAGTGTCTTTGTCCCCACGCAGGTTGGGGAGGGTTCCCAGCTGCTCTGCTTGACAATTTCCTGCTCAAAATCGGGAAATCCCCCAACGAGCCAAATCATATCCATTTCTCTTCCAGTCACTTCAAAAACATGTCATCTCTTATGGTGCCCTGCCAGCGAGGCTGCCTGGAACAGTGTCCTCACACAACATCACCCGGCCAGTGAAGCACAGTGAATGTGTTATGTCCCTACTGGGAAAACGCCCCAGGCACAGAAGCTGCCACAAGGCACCAAACAGGGACACAGCAGAGTGGATCTTTAGCTGGGTGCAGTGGTGTCCACCTGCAACCCCAGCATTTGGGAGGCTGTGAGTTTAAGGCCAACCTGGATTACAGAGCAAGACCCTGCCTCAAAAATCAAAAAGAAAAAGGAAAAAGAAAAGAAAGAAAAAGATCCTTAGTCTTACTTTGTTGAGAGAGGGTTTTACTGAGAGACAGGCTGTGCTTAAACCCAAAACCCTCCTGCCTCAGCCTCCTAAGTGTTGAGATTATAGAAATAAACCACAATGCCTGGCTTCTTTTCGAATTTGGTTTTTGTTTTCTTGAGATAGGGTCTCACTCTGGAGCCCAGGCTGGCCTGGAACACAATGCCATCCTCCTGCCTCAGCCTCCTGAGTGCTGGAATGGCAGGCATGTGTCACTGAGCCTGGCTGATTTTATGCCTGGCCACATTCAGTTTGCTCAGCCCTAATTCTGGGGTTCAGCAGCCAACACAGCCAGTTGGTGAGTCAGCATGAGATCCCCCAAGCAGCAGCCTCGAGTGCCACTCCAGCTGGTCCCAATCTTGTGAGGGTCACCAGCGGGTCACCTCTGAGGAACAGGAGAGGAGAAGATGTGAGCACCAGCCTGGGGCTCGGGCCTGGGCTGCCCTCTTTCTCACTTGTAGTGACTTCAGGAGGCTGGAAATCTTCCAATTCTTCTTCTTCTTCTTCTTCTTCTTCTTCTGTTTTTTTTTTTTTTTTATTTAAAGACAATAATCCTACTTCAGCCTCCTGGGTGCTAGAAAGACAGGCATGTGCCACTGCACCCAGCAATATTCTGGTTCTTGTCCCAGCATTAGTTGCATGGTGTGTTCACTTTGGGAACTCCCTCCATCTATGGATTTAGGTCCTTGTGACTTGTGTGCTTTTTTTGGATATATGTTATCCTCCATGAAAAGTTCACTTAGGGAAATATTTTGAAAGAGAAAACAAGGTTTCTGTTAGCGGCCCACTCTGCAAGGCCAGGCTGGCACCCGAAGGACAATAAAGCATGATCAGAACTAGAAAAGAAAATAGAATACAGCGGCCCTAAACCAGGCACCATGGGGGTGAGGAGCTCCCCAGACGTGGGGACTCTAAATGCTGAAGAGGCTGAGGATCCAGGGTTTGCACAGGGTCCTCAGGAGGCTGTGGAGGGTGGGTGGCAGCCTGGGTGTGGAGAGAGGCATTAGGAAGGGATAGTTTGATGAAATAGGGCAGGACTGGATAGTGAGCCACTGGAAAGGCTCAGGACGGGGGGGATTTTCCTAGGGGGCTGTTGGGATGATGCTGTGGGGCAGAGTGGGGATCAGATGACAAGACTGCATTAGTAGATTTTAAATGATTTTTTTTTTTTTGGTGGGTACCAAGAATCAAACTCAGGATCTTGCACTTGCCAAGTAGGCAGTGCACCGCTGAGCTACATTCCAGACCCAGGTTTTAAGCAACTTTTTGACACTGGGGATTGAACCCCAGGGCCTTCTCTCTGAGATTATCTCTCTGGTCCTTTTTTTTTTTTTTTAATTTTTGGTACTGGGGATCAAATTACAACCTTGCATCTTGCCAGGTAGGCACTTATGCCACTGAGCTAAATCCCTGGCTCTCTCTGGCCCTTTTTAAAAAGAAAAGGTTTTTTTTTTGTTTTGTTTTGTTTTTTGAGACAGGGTCTCTCTAGGCCACAGCCTCAGCATAGACTGCCCTACCACACTCAGATTTCATTTCTGAATTTTTTTTGAGACAGGTTCTTGTCCCCGCTGGCCTTGAACTTACTGCAATCCTCCTGCTTCAGCCTCCCAAGTTCTAGGATCACAGGTATGGGCTACCATGCCCAGCAGCTGCCCAGCTTTCAAATGCACTCATCCCACTATTCTTGGTAGCTTTGGCAGCAGCTCTGAAGCTCTCTTTCCTGAGGCCTGGTCCTGCTTTCACAGCTGCCTCAATGCCCAGAATCAACTAGAAAGTCAGTCATGGTCATTCTGACCGGGGAAGAACCAGAAGTCACAGACCAGTGGATGGGGACAGAGCATCCTGTTTTCAACAGTCTGTCTTCCCCTAGATGCCCTCAGCACCTGCACCCATCGCATGCAGGACTGTGCCTCACAGAGCCCCACAAAACAGAGGCTCCGAAGCTGCTGCAGGACATGGCCAGGATGGTGGTAGGAGTGGGTTCCCAGGAAGGGTGCGCGGCCACATGCTCTACTGTGAAAACATGAGTCACAAGTGGTCACTGCGCCTTCTGTCCCGGCGTTTAAGGGGGCCTCCTTCCCAGAAACAAAACACAGTGCTGGAAAGCGTCTCAGAGCCGCACCCTGCCGGCTGTGACTGGGGCACTGACTTAAGGTCCCACCCCACGTGTGTCAAGCACCCCAATTCTTCAGACCCTGCTCCCCAAGTCTGGACTGAGAACCCTCTTCCACGGGTTGGAATGGGCCAGAAGTACTGTCCAGGACGCCCACCGCCCGTGGCCTCACCTGTGTGGGTGCGCACGTGCCGCTTCAGGTCGAAGGTGTCATTGAAGCCCTTGCCGCAGAAGGTGCACAGGTGCCGCTTCACCTGGCTGTGGCACTTGAGGTGGCGGTTGAGCATGCGCTGTAAGCGGAAGCCCTTGCCGCAGAGCTCGCAGCTGTGCATCGCCGAGTCACTGCATGTGCCTGTGGTGAACTGGAACAGAGAGGGGCCATGAGAGCCTGGGACTCATGCAGGGACCCACGGGGGCTTGGCTGCAGGGAAGGTGATCTTCTTCCTCCTGCAGATCAGACTGCTAGTTCCTGGACCAAAGGGCCTCTGGCTGATGGAAAGGAACCTTCCTTGCAGGGCGGAGTGGCTCCTGATGTTGAGAGCCAGCAGCCACCTTGCAACATGAGGCACAGACCAGCACTGAAGATGATAGGGCAGAAGGAGGAGTCTGGTCCTGTCCTAGACAGTCCCCACAGAGGGCCACTAGTGCTCCTTCCTGCGGTGCATGATGCCCGTCATCAGGAGCTGAGCATTGCTTCTTTCCCCAGGTATAGGCTGGACTACGACCCCTTGACTAGCAGATGAGATAGAGTTCAACAGTGCCCTGCTCCTGACTCACAAAATCTCCAACAATGACGATACCAGGGCCAGGCACGGTGATGCAGGCTGGTCATCCCAGTACTAGAGAGGCCGAGGCAGGAGGATCACAAGGTCTAGCCCAGTCTCAAAATAAAAAAATATAAAAAATAGAAGGGCTGGAGACAGCTCAGCATGAAGGCCCTGGGTTCAATCCTCAGTGTGGACACACATTGACACGCATGCCGCACGCACACGCAAACACACACACACACAGTTGCTAAGCCACAGGGAACGATGACAGGAAGAGAGCCCAGGTCCCATACAGACACAGCTTTGGGGACGGGTTCACTCCACAGGGGATCAAATCCTCAGACAGGAGTCAAGTGCGTGGAGGGCCAATGACACCCCTCTCTTTCCAAAAACTTCTGAGGGGTTTTGGCTCCCCCAGCCCAAAGCCCTGGTGTCACCAAGTGTGGCCCAGAAGCGGTGTCCCAGCCTTAAGAAAGCCCAGTTACCCGGACAACTGTCCCCACGAGACCACCACAGTCCAGGGACAGAGACAGGTGCCAGACTGGGGCCCCAACCAGTGGGGGCACAGCACCCCAAGGGTCACCTGCCCTGAGGTGGCCAGGGAGGAGGGGGCAATGGAGACCTCAGGCAAGGCCAGGGATATGGGGACCAGCATGGGGTTCCATACGGGGCAAGGGAAGGACACCACAGCGGAGGTCCTCTCAGAGAGACCTTTGGGATCCTAATGGAGCTGAGATAATCAGACGTGAGACGGACCCTGGAGAGCAGGGGACAGCCAGAGCAGCCAGGCCAGTGGCCCAATCCAGGTGGGCACCCTCATCCCCACTGGCCCAAGGTCCCCAGGTCCCTTGCTGTCCAGCCACCCTCCTGGTCCCTACCTCCCCTGAGGGGACAGGGAAAAACTATATGTGGCCACTAAGTGCCCTGCACGCCTCAAGGTCAGCTCTACACAAGGTAAAGATCATGGGCAAATTATCGAGGGAGAAGGATGAAGGAGAAACACAGCCTGTGACTCCTGGTAAAGATTTCCAGGCTGGCGGCCTTTGAAAGCATTGCCAACTGCAATTAAAACCTGAACTCTTTCTGATTGATTGATTGATTGATTGATTGATTGATTGAGACAGGGTCTCAATGAAAAGTCCAGATTGGCCTTGAACTCACTATGCAGCCCACGTTGACCTCAAACTCACAGTGATACTCCTGCCTCAGCCTTCCAAGTGCTGGGATAACAGGTGTGCGCCACCATTTCTGGCCATAAAACCTGAGCTCTGGTGCAGAGTTTAGTCTTTTTAGTAAATGCTTATTTTTTAAAGTGCTCCACGTGGACTGTGGCAGAGAGCTTCTACTGCTATCCTGAAGGAAAAGCTCAAATCACCGGCACTATTTGTTGGAAAAGAGTAAACTCCAGAAGGGCACAGACAAGGGCTCTTAGCAACAACTCAAGAGGCACCAAGGAGAAGCGAGGGAGAGCACCAGAGCAGCGGGCAGGGCAGGAGGGTACAGAGGAGGCGCTGGAGCCCAAGGGCCTCTCCATCCCAGGCAACCTTCTCTCGGGTCTTCTTGGTCCAGAAGCAGAAATTCTCCAAGCTGGCCCTTCACAGAGCCGTTTTCATTACTCTGTCGCCTCTCCATCCCATTTCACAGTGCTGTAACCGAGTCACCACCGACTCATTTAGGGACCTCACCCCAAACTGCACCAAGCTTGGCGTGGGATCATATCCATGATCCCAGCACCCAGAAGGCTGAGGCAGGAAAACCACTATGAGTTTGCTGTGAGCCTGGGCTCCACAGCCAGACCCTGTCTCAAAAAAAAAAAAAAAAAGCAAAGCAAACTGAATGACAGTGGAAGAACAGGGACAACAGAGCAGCTGGGAACCAGCCAGTGGCACTGCAGCCAGGAGCTGCCCAGTGCCCAGCCCAGGGCAGACTCCTGGAGGTTCAGCATCACCACCCTTTCCAATGCAACAGCAGGGACAGTGGCCCAGTCGCTCACAAAGGAGAGAAGATGGGGTCAACGCTTTCCACCTATTCAGTGTCGGGTGACAGTACTCCAGGCACAGACCCAACTGGAACAGCAAGAAACTTGTCCCGTTCTCCACGTAACCCTGGATCTGCCTCCTCCCTTCCCGTCTATGTATAGGGCTGGAAACTGAACCAGGGGCCTTCATACTGAACTACATCCCGGGCCTTTTTATTTTTATTTTCCAGACAGGGTCATGGTAGGTTCCTGTTTCCCAGGCTGGGCTCAAACTTAAAATCCTCCTGCCTCAGCCTCCTGAGTGTTGGGATCACGGCGTCCACCACCACCCCCGGGGTCTTCAGTCCGACTTCCCATGTGCCACTGCATGGTGCCCTGCCTGGTCTCCCCAGTTCAGTGTCCTGTCCCAGAGTGGGTGACAACATGGGAGACACATCTGGCTCCTGGAAGGACATTGCATGGGCCCAGGTGCGAGTCCATGGCTGAGCCACCTTTATCCACAGGTTTGTCCCTAACTTAGCCACCTAAACGTTCAAAAAGAGTGGCAGCCACCCTTCACTCCATATCGCTGGAGGCAGGCAGAGCTACCCCACAGCCACAATGTAGCCCCTGGTGGCTCACGCCTGTAATCCCAGCATTCGGGAGGCTAAGGCAGGAGGATGGTTGCAAGTTTGAGACCAGCCTAGGCTTCAAAATGAGCTTGAGGCCAGATTGAACTTCATAGTGAGACCCTGTCTCAAAAAGACAAAAATGGGCTAGGGATTTAGCTCAGTGGCATAAGCACCTGCCTTGCAAGCAGGCAGTCGTGAGTTCGATCTCCGGTACCGATAAAAAAAAAAAAAAAGACAAAAAGAAAAGGAATGCTGAAGAAGCCTGGTATGGTAGTCAGACCCATGATCTCAGCACTCAGGAGGCTGAGGCAGGAAGATCGCTGTGAATTCAAGGCCCAACTTGTGCAATACAGCAAGGTTCTGCCTCAAAATGAAACAAAAGGATCATAAAGCAAACCAAAGAAATACAAAAGGAAACCCTGAAGAATGGAACAGAAACCCAGCCTGGCTGTGTGGTGCTGGATGTCATCTAACACCCCTGCGTCACAATGCCCCTACCTACAACAGCACTGTCTACCACACGAGCAGCCCAGAGTTGGAGTACAGTTCCTGCTCCACCAAGACTCATCTGAGGGGTCAGAAGCAAGTCACTGAGCTTTACAAGTCTCCATCTCACACCTGTAAAATATGGATAATGATACCTGCCTCTTGGGAATAAGTCAAACACTCAGGAAGAAAAGCTATTTAATCTGGGCATGATGGCGCACACCTATCCCTGCCAGCACCCTGGGAGGCTGAAGCAGGAGGATCATCATGAGTTCAAGGTCAAAGCTAGCTCAAGGCCAGTCTATACTACATAGTGAGACCTTATGTCAAAAAAGAAAAAAAAAGAAAAGCTACTTTGGGGGGATTTCCTTTTGGGAGTTGTAGCCATTGTTGATCCCTGTGGTTTGGTTTTGGAAGACCTATATCATTTTCATTGTTTTGTTGCGTTGGGTTTTATTGTTTTTTGTTTTGTTTGATTATGTCAAATCTGATGGTAAGAGCAGCTATTTCAAAGATAGCAAGATTTATGGTAGCAATTTTGGATTTACTATTGGCTTGTTTTGAAATCCTTTATTGCATTCATTGTCTTGTTTTTATTGTCTCTATTCTATTCTGTTCTGTTTGATTTTTACTATATCTGAAGTTATCTTGCAGCTATTTTGAAGACATCAAAAGGCATCATGATAAGTAGTGTTGATTTCATTAATGTTTTTAGGCCTGTGTCTTACACTGGTTTGTTTTGATTGTTTTATTCTGTTTTATCTTCAAAATAAATAAAAAGAAAAGAAAAGCCCTACTTTAAAGGACCCAGCACCAGTAATCTTACCATGATTAGACCACCTTCAAAATTCTGGGATCCTAGGTAAAGCCAAATGGACCAGAATCCCGTTTGTCGGTTTGCTTTTGAGTTGCTCTGTGATGCAAGGCAAAGAGCAGGAACTTCTGGTGTGAGTCCAAGCCTAGCCTTTTGCCAGTGCCTCTGTACCCCAAATATCTGCCAGTGAGACGCCCTGGAGTCAGTGCAGGAAGATGCAGACTTCATCCCTGGTGGCGGTGGCGGTGGCGGTGGCGGTGGCATGTGTGTGTTTCTGTACAGAAATCTCTGCATTGCCCTGCAGGGAGCCTTCCAAAAAGGTCTGGTCTTCCCCTTCATCCAAAAGTAACACTTTTCGAAAGCTTATAAATGAAGTGGGGAGACCACCACAGAGGATGGGAAACAACATCAGTGCTGAAATAACAACGGCAGGAGACAAAGACTGGAGGAAGCGATTCCTGCAGCCAGCCTGGCGCTTCTCTGCAGGATCTTGGCTTGCCCTTTAGAAGACACTAAGAGTCCTCCTCCAGCGCTGCTAAAACCCAGATCCCTGCCGCAGAACAAACCCAGCATTGTACCTGGGCTGCCACAAGGGTCAGGAGCATCCGAGGAACAGGGACCTCGGTGGCCTCTGTGACCAACTTCAAAGCTGTCTGGGATCACTTACCTGTCAGAGCGCCGAAAGAAAGAAGCCCCCAGAAAACGG